ATTGGTGTCTATCAACAATGACAAGCCTCCGGGGTCTGACAACCTGGATGGAAAATTACTGAGGATAATAGCGGACGATATTGCCACTCCTATTTGCCATATCTTCAATTTAAGCCTACTAGAAAGTGTGTGCCCTCAGGCCTGGAGGGAAGAAAAAGTAATTCTGCTACCCAAGAATAGTAAAGCCCCCTTTACTGCCTCAAATAGCCGACCAATCAGCCTGTTACCAACCCTTTGTAAACTTTTGAAAAAATGTGTGTTTGACCAGATACAATGCTATTTCACAATAAACACATTGACAACAGACTTTCAGCATGCTTATAGGGAAGGACATTCAACAAGCACAGCACTTAAACAAATTACTAATGATTGGCTGAGAGAAATTGCTAATAAAAAAGTTTGTGGGGGCTGTTTTGTTAGACTTCAGTGCGGCTTTTGACATTATCGATCAAAGTATGCTGCTGGAAAAACATATGTGTTATGGCTTTACACCCCCTGCTATATTGTGGATAAAGAGTTACCTGTCTGACAGAACACAGAGGGTGTTCTTTAATAGAAGCCTCTCCAACATAATCCAGGTAGAATCAGGACTTAGGAAAATTACAATTGGCTCAGAACAGGGCAGCATGGCTGGCCCTTAAAAGTACACGGGGAGCTAACATTAATGATATGCATGTCAATCTCTCATGGCTCAAAGAGGAAGAGATTTACTTAATCACTACTTGTTTTTGTAAGAAGTGTTGACAAGCTGAATGTACCGAGCTGTCTGTTTAAACTACTAGCACATAGCTCGGACACCCATGTATACCCCACAAGACATGCCACCAGAGGTCTCTTCACAATCCCCAAGTCCAGAACAAACTATGGGAGAAGCACAGTACTACATAGAGCCATGGCTACAATGAACTATATTCCACATCAGGTAACTGATGCAAGCAGTAGAATCAGATTTGAAAAGGCAGGTAAAAATACACCTTATAGAACAGCGGGGACTGTGAAGAGACACACACAAAGGTACAGACACGCACCCATACGCAAACCAACGCTACCACACGCACTTTACACACACATTCCAATATTGTTGTATGGTGGTATTATACATTTTGTATCATAGATATGTAGTGTTGTAATAATGTTATATGATGTACTGTTTTATATTTTGTTTTATGTGTAATGTAAGTGCCTTAATGTGTTTGGACCACAGGAAGAGTAGCAGTTGCCTTGTCAGCAGCTAATGGGGATCCCTAATAAATACAAATACAAATGTCTCCTCCATATTTATTCCTCTGGCAGATATACACACCCGTTTTAAACAATTCAGAGTCAAAGACAGATCAAACCCTTGGTTTTCTTCTGAGCTATCTAAGCTAATTCAGATGACAAACCAGGCCTGGACCAAAGCAAGGAAAATTGACTCTGTAGTTGATTGGCAATATTTCAGACAACTGAGAAACAGATGTACTATCTCGATTAAGAAAGCAAAATCAAGCTACTTTTTAGGCTCTATCTCTGACTGCTGGCGATCCTTCAGAATTTTTGAAAACAGTTAATTCACTGTAGCGTACAAATGTGTCTTTCCCTGCCTAAGCAAGTTCTGTCTGGGGCGGCAGGTAGCTTAGTGGTTAAGAGCATTGTGCCAGTAACCGAAAGGTCGCTGGTTCTAATCCCAGAGCCGACTAGGTGACAAATCTGTCGATGTGCCCTTGAGCATGGCACTTAACCCTAATTGCTCCTGTAAGTCGCTCTGGATAAGAGCGTCTGCTAAATGACTAAAATGTCTGTCTGACTCTGGCATAATTACTGAGAATGGGATAAGTGATGCTTTTAACCAGCATTTTATCTCGTCAGGTTTTTTATTTGATATGAACGGTGGTGTAGTTGACCATGGTCAGTCAATTGACTGCTCTTCCCTCTCCCAGCCTCTAACTGACTGACGGTTAAACTGTCAACTTCTAGTGAATCTTTGTTTTCATTTCAACAATTTACTATCTGTGATATGCTAGATGCCTTGCTGAAGATTGATGTAAAACAATCCACTGGGGCTGATATGCTTGATCCATTTTTGCTGCCCCCCTTATTGTGGAATCATTAACCCATATTTTTTACCTGACGATTATATCTGGTACTAACCCTAAGGTTTGGAAGGAAGCCCTTCACAAAGGTGGTGACCCTTGTGACCTAAATAACTATCGCCCTATTTCAAAACTATGTTGCCTAGCTAAAATAGAATCCTTGATTAATTCTCAGCTAAGATCTTTCTTATCTTTGAAATGTATTCTAAATGTACATCAGTTGGGTTTTAGACCAGGTCATAGCACTATCTCTGCTGCATCCCTAGTTATAAATGACGTGGTTAACTGTATGGATAAAGGCAACATTGTGCTGCCCTCTTCATTGATCTGTCAAAGGCTTCTGATACTGTTCACTGCTAATTCAGAGGCTTTCCTCAATTGGCCTAGGCCAGGCTGCATGTAACTGGTTAAAAAATTACTTGACACATATAACTCAATGTGTATTTACTGATGGTGTTAAATTAGGTTTTCTCGACATAATGAAAGGTGTCCAGCAGCGGTTGATTCTGGGTCCTGTACTTTTTACATTAACAATATTGAATTGTCTGTAAAAAGTTTCACTTGCATTTGTATGCCGATGATACTGTTGTGTATGCTATTGCCCCCACGGTTGACCAGGCTCTATCTGAACTACAGTATGCCTTCATTATTTTACAGAAAAACTTTATTGACCTGAAATTAGGATTGAATGCAGGTAAAATTAAGTATATGTTGTTCTCTAGAGCACATAAAATTAACGCTGATGATTTAAGCATACAGTGCCTTTGGAAAGTATTTAGACCCCTTTCCACATTTTGTTAGGTTACAGCCTTATTCTAAAATGGATTAAATAGTTTTTTCCCCTCATCAATCTACACACAATACCCCATAATGACAAAGCAAAAACAGGTTTTTAGAAGAAAAAAAATGAAATATCACATTTACATAGGTATTCAGACCCTTTACTCAGTACTTTGTTGAAGCACCTTTGGCAGCGATTACAGACTCGAGTCTTCTTGGGTATGACGCTACAAGCTTGGCACACCTGTATTTGGGGAGTTTCTCCCATTCTTCTCTGCAGATCCTCTCAAGCTCTGTCAGATTGAATGGGGATCATTGCTGCACATCTATTTTCAGGTCTCTCCAGAGATGTTAGATCGGGTTCAAGTCCGGGCTATGGCTGGGCCACTCAAGGACATTCAGAGACTTGTCCCAAAGCCACTACTGCATTGTCTTGGCTGTGTGCTTAGGGTCATTGTCCTGTTGGAAGGTGAACCTTCGCCCCAGTCTGAGGTCCTGAGTGCTCTGGAGCAGGTTTTCATCTCTTTACTTTGCTCTGTTCATCTTTGCCTCGATCCTGACTAGTCTCCCAGTCCCTGCCACTGAAAAACATCCCCACAGCATGATGCTGCCACCGCTATGCTTCACCATAAGGATGGTGCCAGGTTTCCTCCAGATGTGACGCTTGGCATTCAGGCCGAAGAGTTCAATCTTGGTTTCATCAGACCAGAGAATCTTGTTTCTCATGGTCTGAGAGTCTTTAGGTGCCTTTTGGCAAACTCTACCATAAAGGCCTGATTGGTGGAGTACTTTTTTTAATACACTTGTAAACATTTCTAAAAACCTGTTTTCGCTTTGTCATTATGGGGTATTGTGTGTAGATTGCTGAGGATTTTTATTTATTTAATACATTTTAGAATAAGGTTGTAATGTAACAAAATGTGGAAATAGTCAAGGGGTCTGAATACTTTGGATGGTGCCCATATTGATCGTGTCACTGCTTACAAATATCTGGGCATCTGGATAGAAGGAAATCTGTCTTTTAAAAACGGATATTGATGAGTTACTGTAGTTAAAAATGGGCTTCTTCTCTAGAAATAGGTCATGCCTCTTACTAAATAGTAGAAATAGCAGATTATTCAGTCAACGTTCCTCCCGATCCTAGACTGTCGACATCATCTATGTGAATGCAGCTGCCACTTAATTAAAGCCATTAGATACTGTTTTTCATCACGCACTGCGCTATATTACAGGCGACAGGTTTAGTACTCATCTAGCAGAAAGTTGGTTGGCCCTCTTTGATGTCACATAGGTTGATACATTGCTATGTTTTCATTTATAAAGCCATTTTACAAAAACATACTAAACTTTAGACATGTGAGTTACCACACCCGGTCTCAGGGATGGCTAACTCTAGAAATTCCTTCGGTCTCTACTGAGTTAGGTAAATCACCTTTTAGTTTTTTTGCACCATGTTTGTAGAACACTTGAAATGTGATGTTTTGGTGCCTTTAGGCAATTCAGGACCTTATTACTGATGAATGTTTTCTTTCTTTCTGTTTGCATTTTGTATTTATATTTTGATTTGTGTATTTATATAATTTCTGTAATTCAGGGCTCATCTGTAAAAGAGACCTTGGTCTCAGTATCTCACTGATAAAAAAGGTTAAATAAAAATAAATACATGTGCATTATATAGCACACATAAACATCAGTGGTTCCATCATCCTCCTGAAGTTGTGGGAGGGTGACATAAAGCCAATACACTGCAGTATTCTAACATGGGGACCCAGAGGGTCTGTCTTTGTTATCTCAAATCAAATAAAAGTTTATTGGTCACTTATAGATTTGTAGATGTTATGGCAGGTGCAGCGGAATGCTTGTGTTTCTAGCTCCAACAGTGCAGTAATAATACCTCATATATGCAGTAATAGTACCTTGTCTGCTTGAATCATTCAGGTTTAATATAATGTGTACATGCAAACTGCCAGTGCTTTATTCAATACTTTTCTATGGGACTTTTAAAGTACTGGAGGCCTACTGTAATCTGTTATTTTTGCATCCCTGACCCTGACTTGATATGAGCACTAGAGGGCAGTGTAAAGAAAATGACGCAGATGTTTTTCTCACGTGGAGGTCCTCTTGATGAAACAGCTTCACTTCCTCGTCGTTGTTGTTTCGATCCGGTTCTATCCTTTTCGCGTGCCATCAGTGGCCCAACGTGCTCCGCAAAAATGGCACTTTATAATTTCAAGAAGATTATGGTGGTTCCTACATCAAAGGTACGTTTTTACACGTTTTACAAGTTGTTGATGTGTCTCTCCAGAAAATAGCGACTCTAAATACTGAAAACATACTGTTTATCGGGTTTGAATTAAATATCTGGAGAGAGACACGTGTTGTGCTTGGGAAGGGAGAGAAAAGCTACGCATGACATTCCTTATTTTTTTGGTCGACAAAATACATACAAATGCGTGTCTAGTGATGTGAATTGTTTGTTATTGTAAAATACATAGTATTGACAAGGTTTTGGTTTACATTGACCTCGTTCAATGTACTGATTGCCATTCCCTGTTTATTTCACAGGAATTCATTGACATCACTTTATCGAAAACCCAAAGGAAGACTCCGACAGTAGTACACAAACATTATCAAATTCACCGCATCAGGCATTTCTACATGCGCAAGGTGAAATTCACCCAACAGAACTATCATGACCGGCTCTCCCAGATTTTGACAGACTTTCCCAAATTGGACGTAAGTAATGTTATTACTTTGAAAGTCTTGTAATATTCACACACTAACAAGTTCCACTTTGTCCCAATGAATATGATATTGTCTTCCACAGGATATCCATCCATTCTATGCTGATTTGATGAATGTCTTGTATGACAAAGACCATTACAAGTTGGCTTTGGGACAGATCAACATCGCAAAGAATTTGATTGACAAGTATGAAGCTTACTTTTTCCACTTTTTTGGGGTTGCTTACACTGATAATGTATGCTGGTCAATTTGGAGCAGTCCCACTCAAATGTGTTCTTGTTAAAGTGTTTCCAAAGACTATGTTCGACTGATGAAGTATGGTGATTCCCTGTACCGCTGTAAACAACTGAAGCGCGCTGCTCTGGGTCGAATGTGCACCATCATGAAGCGACAGAAACAAAGCTTGGAATACCTGGAACAAGGTAATCTTTTAGTTATTTACTTTGTTTGATGAAAGGTGAAGTGTGCATGTCTGAAAATGGCTCCGGTGTGCATATGCTAGACGATACTGCAGACATTTGGCTCCAGTTGTCATTGTTGTTATGTTGTTTACATTTTGTTATTGTTGTTTTTACAGTGCGCCAGCATCTTTCCCGTTTACCAACGATTGATCCCAACACTCGGACTCTACTGCTTTGTGGATATCCTAATGTGGGCAAGTCCAGTTTCATCAACAAGGTATTGTTGTTATTCTTTGTCAGTTCAATGGTTGGTAGAACCTTTAGTGTTAAAATACAATTGTATTGGTCACATGCGCCGAATACAACAGGTGTAGACTTTACAGTAAAATGCTTACTTACGAGCCCATTCCCAACAACGCAGAGTTAAAAAGTAAGACAAATATTTGCTAAATAAAAAAGCTGATAGTAACTCAAAAACAATAACGAGGCTATATACAAGGAGTACCAGTACCGAGTCAATGTGCAGGGGTATGCGGTGGTTGAGGTAATACAGTATGTACATGTGGGTAGGGGTAAAAGTGATTAGGCAATCAGGATACATAAGAAACAGTAGCAGCAGCATGTGTTTTTGTGTGTTAGTGTTATTTTAGTATGTGTGCATAGAGCCAGTGCAAAGCAATTAAGATAAATAATCAAGTGGGTCATTGTAAATAGTCTGGGTAGCCATTCGATTAACTGTTCAGCAGTCTGATGGCTTGGGGGTAGAAGCTGTTCAGGTGCCTTTTGGGCCCAGACTTGCCGCTCCGGTACCGCTTGCCGTGCAGTTGCAGAGAGAACAGTGTATGACTTGGGGGCTGGAGTCTTGGACAATTTTTAGGGCCTTCCCCTGACATCGCCTGTTATAGAGGTCCTGGATGGCAGGGAGTTTGGCCCCAGTGATACCTGTAGCGCCTTGCGGTCGGAATGCCAAGCAGTTGTCATACCAAGCGGTGATGCAGCCAGTCAAGATGCTCTCAATGGTGCAGCTGTAGAACTTTTTGAGGATCTGGTGGCCCATGCCAAATCCATTAGTTGTTTGGTGTGTTTAAGTAATGTTTCTGCACCGTTTTAGCAGCCATTGTTAGTGGCATTACAACAGGTTTCTTGTCTGCATTGCTGCACGGTGTATCGATCTTAGTTGGGTCGTTGTAAATAATGTTGTCAATGACTTCCCTGTTAAAATAAAGGCAACTAGAAATAAATGTGTTAAGGTTAATTTGAATATCTTGGTGCGTATGCAGAACATGGATAAAAGTCATACAATACATTTTAGTAGTGAGAGAAAAGATGTTGACAAAGCTGAACTCTCTTCCCCAGGTCACCAGAGCTGATGTTGAAGTCCAGCCCTACGCCTTCACCACCAAGTCCTTGTTCGTCGGTCACATGGATTACAAATACCTTCGTTGGCAGGTAAGATGGCCTTTATGCACTTACACGCTCCCCACGCCAGCTATCTCCAGCTGGAATAGATTGGAATAGTTATATATTTGATATTCATACACTTTCCCACCAGATTTGTACTTGGTACGAAACTAGATCACGACACAGATACATCAAGTACCCTTTGTATGTCTGTAACCTCTTTAAGGAATACCTGGGATAGGATCAAGTAATCCTTCTACCCCACCCCCCAAAAACATAATTTTTTATAGTTGTAAAGTGGTTATCCCACTGGCTATAAGGTGAATGCACCAATTTGTAAGTCGCTCTGGATAAGAGCGTCTGCTAAATGACGTAAATGTAAAATGTAAATGTAATGAGAAATCATGCACCACGCTGAACGTGTGTTGGATAACCCCTACCACAATATCTGAGACCTTCAATAAAGTACTCTAGATAGTGTTAGTTTCTCTCTCAATCACGAGTTGTAGAATATGATTAACACCTGAACCATTTCATGTGTATAGCTAACTCTATATGTGGCTGTAGGTGGTTGACACCCCAGGGATCTTGGACCACCCTTTGGAGGAGAGGAACACCATTGAGATGCAGGCCATCACAGCCCTGGCCCACCTGCGTTCTGCTGTGCTCTACGTGATGGACGTCTCCGAGCAGTGTGGCCAAACCCTGGAGCAGCAGCTCGAGCTCTTCAACAACATCCGGCCCCTCTTTGCCAACAAGGTCAGAGGTCATGTGTTATGGAGGCACCATTGATTACTTTTAAGACTGCATCACAAATGACACCCTATTCCCTTTATAGTGCACTACTTTTGACCAGGGTCTATAGGACTCTGGTCAAAAGTTGTGGATTATATAGGGAATAGGGTGCCTATTCATGTGTTATGGAAGCACCATTGCTGACTTTTTAAATGTAGCGCTAAGGTCGATAGTTTTAAGCTTGTGAGTTACAGTCAACAGTTGTTCAGAAGTCAAAACCTTTCCCTTCTTTTAAAGCACCCTGCTAAAATTGTGGGGGTGGAGCCTCTGGGCTTGGCTCTTGCGGGCATGTGAGCACGGGTACACCAAGGAAGGAGAGAAAAGACACAGGGTCGCAAGTGAGGCTAGGACGGACCGCTTTCTTAATGTCCAGTGTCCTTTGTCTCAAGGCTCTGTGCTACATTATTTCTCTGAAAAGGGCAAGGCATCATTAACCCTTTAGTCCCCAGTAGAATTCTAGAATGCTGCTTTTGATTACTGAGAATTTTCAAGTTAAAGCTAATTTTCTCACACATTTCAAACAAACAGACATAGCTCAAGAACAAATGACAATTACAAGTGAACTTAGTTTTAAAGAGCTCTACCTCTTCTTTAATATGACAACACATTCATGTCAATAGGAATAACACTCATTTTGTAAAGACCCACACTATCAAAAAACTAACACAACACAGAACCCTAGAGTATTTAAATTGTAGTAAATTTGACAAAATTACTCACTCAAAATGTACCAAGTATAATATATTATACTTATAAATATTATTTTCATATAAAGAAATTATCCAACATGTGACCAGAGGACAATATTCAGAAAGTATTTCAAAACCCACACAAAGTAGGCTATTTGATTGACAACTAGGTGACCTCTCTCAATAAGATTTAGTACAGACCAGGCCTGACACAACATGTAGAAATAGTAGCCTGCTTTGACAATTCAGTGAATGCAACAAGTATTAGAGACAGATAAAGAGAGAAGATACAAACGCAACAACTGTTCAGAGACAATAAAAGATTTGTAGGACAAATTCATATTTCACAATGTCACTTTAGTGTTTGCATTTAGCCTACAACATATCATGGAACTTCTAGAAGCACTGCCCCATCCTGCAAAGTGGCACAGAACACATAGAGCACCCAAAGGTGGTTTCTACACATCTCCCACTCTTTGCCCTGCGTCCACTCCAGATGCACACCACACATCCTCTCTTGTGCCCTTCAAACTTCACCTGCTTTCAAATGAGTTACAACTCGGTCCACACGCCCTGGTTCCACACTCTTGGCTCCCCTCTTCCTGGCACACATACTTCCACCATTTTCTGCCTGAGCGTCCAACATTGTAATAGCTCTTCAGTTGGTCAAGACGGTCAACCCCTAGAGGAGTAACAAATAAGATACAATTGTGGTCAGGAACATCATTTACATTTTAGTCATTTAGCAGACGCTCTTATCCAGAGCGACTTACAGTTAGTGAGGGCATACATTTTCATCATCTTCTCTCTCGCTCTCCCCACTCAACTCTTGCTTTCTTGCCTGACAGACTAACTACAGAGTTCACTAATGTTAGCTGATTAGTTATGAAGCTGGGACAGTTTCCAGATGAATTGCATTGGTAAAAACAGGACAAAACAAGCAACTTGTTAGCTGACTATGGAAACAAATATCCAACTCATCATATGAGCTCCACTGCGCGGACATCTACTACCCCAACGCAACAGCTAAGCTGTCAAAACGAGGCGATGTATATCCTATGAATATCTGCACCTAGCAAACATGACAAACCATAAACTAAGCCCAGCAGATAAACACAAATGACTCTAGCCTTCATTTCGGTGGCTAGTTAGCTGGTTGTCTGTATTGCTAGCTAGGGAAAGTGACAGCTGAGGTTGACGCTTCGTGAGCGCAGCCCAAATTTACCGCTACACACAACTTTTCTTTCCTGACAGACTCCCTGCCTGTGCCATTAAACCCCTACAACTCATCCAGAATGCCGCAGCCCGTCTGGTGTTCAACCTTCCAAAGTTCTCTCACGTCACCCCGCTCCTCCGCACACTCCACTGGCTTCCAGTTGAAGCTCGCATCTACTACAAGACCATGGTGCTTGCCTACGGAGCTGTGAGGGGAACGGCACCTCCGTACCTTCAGGCTCTGATCTGTCCCTACACCCAAACGAGGGCACTGCGTTCATCCACCTCTGGCCTGCTGGCTCCCCTACCTCTGATGTACTAGCCGGTACCAACCAAGTTATCATGACATGACAGGACTTGCTAATCTGAGAGCTATTCCCCAAGTTTCACAGCATCAAACATCAACCACACTAAACGTATATATGCTGTTTACTTATTTCACTCACCTCGACATAATCGTTTTTCAAAGTGCAAGGACGGGTCCGAATCCGTATCACCAACCAACATAGATACAGCCTCTTTCACAGTGAAAAGTCGTGTCTGCTTTGGCGCCGTCTATAATATAAATAATAATAATATAATATGCCATTTAGCAGACGCTTTTATCCAAAGCGACTTACAGTCATGCGTGCATACATTATTATTTTTTTGTGTATGGGTGGTCCCGGGGATCGAACCCACTACCTTAGCGTTACAAGCGCCGTGCTCTACCAGCTGAGCTACAGAGGACTAAGGCTGAGCTATTTGACTAATTAAGTTTATTTAAAATATATATATATATATATATAAATAAAAAAATGGAAAGTCAAGTGACAGCGTACCCTGTTTCTGGTTTCACGCATATATGACAATATTATTGTATTTTTCCCTCTAGCCTTTGCTCATTGTGGCAAACAAGTGTGATGTCAAGAAGATCAGTGAACTCCCTGAGGAAGACCAGGTTCGTAGTTTTGTTCATGTTCATTAATATATTCTCTATCTTTACTTTGGCTGTATTTCTTACCCCAGTTTACTTTGTCATTCACTTCCAAGATGGGACTTGCTAATCAGGGTTTCCTGCTTTGTTTCCTCAGAAAATCTTTGCTGACCTTATTGCAGAGGGCATCCCTGTCATTGAAACCAGCACTTTGACTGAGGAGGGAGTGATGACTGTGAAAACAGAAGTGAGCAGTCTAGTCCACTCTTCTGATTACTAACAATTTGTTAGTAACACATTTTTGTATTTTTTTATATAAATTTGTTTAAAATAAATCGTACTCATATTTTCTTCAATTTCAGGCCTGTGACAAACTTCTGGCCCATCGTGTCGACGGCAAAATGAAGGGAAAGAAGGTGCATGATGTGCTGAACAGATTGCATTTAGCAGTGCCTGCTAAGAGGGACGAGAAGGTACACTAAATACTGTACTTCATGTAGAGGTGTACATCTTTCCACACTTAGTAATTTGCCGAAGTTAAACATGTTTGCAAGTCATAAGCATGATTTGATTGTAATGGTATATACATTTGGATGTGAACAGGTGAAATTGAGTGTGTCCTTTTTTAGAAATGCTTGGACTGTTTTCTCAACACTAGGCAAGACCACCGTTCATTCCAGAGGGAGCTAGGATTGGCAGGAAAACAATGCAGGTGGATGCACCCAAACGCAAAACGGTAGAGCCATACTAATACTAGTAACAGTTGTGGAAGGATGATATTGGAAGAGCCTTGGATGTAGTCTGCGTGGGTTATGTTGTGGTAAACATGCATTGTAAAGAGCTAGCTGTCTTCCTAAGTATTATTTCATGATTACCCATTTCCATCATTGATTTACAGGAGAGAGATCTGGAGGTGGAGATGGGAGATGATTATATCCTGGACCTACAGAGTATGTATTTTGACATGTCATCAACTTTATAAATAGCTTGTCTGAAATGATATTGTGTACATGGTTATCAGCACACTTATTTGGTCCATTTTCTATAATACGTGATATTTCCTCCTTTTTTCAGAATATTGGGATCTGATGAATCAAGATGAGAAATATGATGTGATTCCTGAAATATGGGAGGGTCACAACATTGCAGATTATATCGACCCTGAAATCATGAAGGTGAGTGGGGCGTGAAACCACTGATGTTGGCGACCATAGTTATTGATGACCAGTATGGATAGGATGTAGTGTTCTGCCACTATAGCCGCCAACATTGACTGAAAAAAGATCATTGACTAGAATGGGGATGCCTTTCTAGTGATTTCATGGAACCATAGACTTGAATGGGGATGCCTGTTCTATTCATTCTAATTCTATGGCCACCACCTCTCCTAACATCTCTCTCATGCCCATACAGAACCTGGAGGATCTGGAGAAGGAGGAGGAGCTGAAGGAGAAGGCAGGGGAGTACGAGACTGATGAGGAGAGCGAGGACGAGGAGATGCAGGAGATCCGTCAGCTGGCCAAACAGATCAGAGAGAAGAGGAAGCTGAAGATCGTCTGCTCCAAAGACAAGGATGTGCATGGCCCCAGACTACCCAGAACTGTCAAGAAGGTGACATGGACAACTTGTTTATATGCATATAACTTTTAAAGTTAATCTTGTTTTATTTTCTGCTTTACTAATCACTGGGCCAAAATGTTAAACATTTACAGGTTGAAAGAAAAACCCTGGAGAAAGAAATGGGAGACCTTGGTCTGGACATGACTGGCAAAGATGACGTAAGTTGCTTTTCATTTAGTTCTGTGCATGTCAAGTATAATATCTTAATACAAGCTACAGACTGTATTCTATATTCACACATTGCTGCTCATGTCCTTTCAGAGCCACTATGCAGTGAATGCCCGTAGATCCCGGAGTGTTGGTGTTGCCAAGAAACGTAAGCGTGAGGCGTCTGTAGTTCCCACCTCTCGAACCCGCAGCCAGAGTGCCTCTCGTCCCCCACGCGACCAATCTGGTGTTCGTGATCCTAAGGTATGCGATGTAGGCTACTCTATATTTTCTTGTCATCAGGTGAAATGGTTTGTGTTACAAATATGCACAATGCATATTGGGAAAGTGTTAGTCCCCTGGCTTAAAGAAACATAAGCTTTGGAGATGTTATGAAGATTGTGTTTGTCTGAAGTGGCACCCTATTCCCTATTATTGGCCCTGGTCAAAGTAGTGTCCTATATATGGATAAGAGTTCCATTTGGGACGCAACCTGTGTTTTGCTGAGGATTTACAGAAATTATGATTTCCTATATAGATGGCGAAACAGGCCAAGAAGTTGATGAAGAACCAACAGAAGGACATGAACCGCCAGGGGAAGAAGGGAGAGGCAGACAGACATGTATTCGACCTCAAGCCAAAACATCTTTTCTCTGGCAAGAGGAAGTCCGGAACCAACGATCACAGATAAAGGCATTGATCGATGCAGTTTACCTTTTTCAGAGTCTAGTCGAGCTTCTGTCTAACTTGTATACCTTTTCTCTGGAGTAAAACTGAACATAATAAATGTTTGCCCTTTCCTGAATTATCATTCACTATGTGGAGGTATTGAGTGACACGGACGTGTCATTCCTGGTTTTGAAAAGCTGCAGCTGTGCAGTGGAGCACAAACATCAAATCTGACGCAAGGTATCAGCAAGCAATGAGATATTGGTGGATTTTAGTGGTAGTTCAACTTCTGTCACTTATATGAACACCCATAGTCACAGCTTCCAATTGCTGTGGCTACCAATTGTTATACAAAGAAGCTCAAATAGCGTTCAAGTAAAGTGTACTTGAATTGTAAACTTTCATTGGAACGTCTTGCCTTAACTCCTGAAATTTGATATAAAGTGTATCGCTTTGGTGTGGCTAGAAACAAAGAAAATGACATTTACATCATTTAGCAGACACTCTGGATAAGAGCGTCTGCACCTTAACAGTTAAGTCCTCTCACTAAATGTGGGTTTCTTCTACAGTGTACACTGAAGTGGGGGAACTGATTAAATGCTCAATTGAAATGTGTCTCGGTGGTGCTTTATTAAAATCAAGTGTACTGAATACTTTAATATTGATATTGTCCTGCCTGTTTATTAAATAGTGTGATCAAAATATATAATAAATTATGTGCCATTTCAGGAAATATTAGGAAACAGGAAAATATTGTATGAAGCACTCAATGGGCCTGTCCAAAGTGGGACGTTAAATCATAGATTGGACAAAAACTATTATCAGAGATCTGAATATAATGACCAGATGCTCATGTCTCCGCCCTGACAATGGGGTTGTTCGTTTATCTGGCCCGGGTTATCCCGGTGGGAGGAGTTTGATCAGGTGAGCCTGGGGAAGTCTGCTAAAAACAGACAAGGACGTGGCGTGATGAGTAGGATTCTGTGGTTTCATATGCAGAAGTGATTGCTTTTGATAAAAACTAGTACTGAGCAATTAGTGCTTTTTGAGATGGGTTTCGATAATGAAAATGTTGGATATATATTATAAAATGTTTTACAAATACACTGCATTATGTGGGTTGAATGCTATAACAGAATAAAACAGTTAATAAAAGTCCCATGATGGTAGTGACTGCCCATGACTGCTTATCACTTATTAACCATCAGTTATTCACATTACTTTAGGCCTGCTTTAATAAAATATTTCAGTTGTGTATATTACATTTGTTTTATTTGATGACTATTTCATTCCGTGTCATCATCTCATCTCTATAGAGCTGCTGTCTGACAAAATCACTATTTTTGTAGTTCTTCAAAGTAAATAAGGCATACTTTCACTGCTGAAAACCAATACCTCGCAAAGCAACTGCTCTCTATGTATCCCCTCTTGATCACACATAAAGCAGGTGTAAAAGAAAGACCAGACAAGCCGCGCAATCGATTATGGTAATTGCGCAATCTGTGCTGAACTATGGAGAACATTGGCCTGTTGGAAACTACACTGAACAAAAATATAAACGCAACATGTAAAGTGTTGGTTTCATGAGCTGAAACAAAAGATCACAGAAATGTTCCATGCACACAAAAAGCGTATTTATCTCAAATGTTGTGCACAAATTTGTTTACATCCCTGTTAGTGAGCATTTCTCCTTTGCCAAAATAGTCCATCCACCTGACAGTTGTGGCATATCAAGAAACTGATTAAACAGCATGATCATTACCCAGGTGAACCTTGTGCTGGGGACAATAAAAGGCCACTCTAAAATGTGCAGTTTTGTCACAACACAATGCCACAGATGTCTCACGTTTTGAGGGAGCATTCAATTAGCATGCTGACTGCAGGAATGTCCACCAGAGCAGTTGCCAGAGAATTAAATGTTAATTTCTCTACCATAAACATTGTTTTAGAGAATTTGGCAGTATGTCCGCTGACTGCAGGAATGTCCGCCAGAGCAGTTGCCAGATAATTAAATGTTAATTTCTCTACCATAAGCCATAAACCTTGTTTTAGAGAATTTGGCAGAATGTCCAACAGGCCTCACAACCGCAGACCACGTGTAACCATGCCAACCCAGGACCTCCACATCCGGCTTCTTCACCTGCGGGATCGTCTGAGGCCAGCTGAGCCACCCAGACAGCTAATGAAACTGTGGGTTTGCACAACTGAAGAATTCCTGCACAAACTGTCAGAAACCGTCTCAGGGAAGCTCATCTGAGTACTCTTCGTCCTCACCAGGGTCTTGACCTGACTGCAGTTTGGCGTCGTAACCGACTTCAGTGGGCAAATACTCACCTTCGATGGCCACTGGCATACTGGAGAAATGTGCTCTTCACGGATGAATCCCGGTTTCAACTGTACTGGGCAGATGGCAGACAGCGTGTATGGCAGTGTATGACGTCATGTGGGCGAGCGGTTTGCTGATGTCAACGTTGTGCCCCATTGTGGCGGTGGGGTTAAGGTATGGGCAGGCATAAGCTACGGACAACGAACACAATTGAATTTTATCGATAGCAATTTGAATGCAAAGAGATGCCGTGATGAGATCCTGAGGCGCATTGTCATGCCATTCATCTGCCGCCATCTTCTCATGTCTCAGCATGATAATGCATGGCCCCATGTCGCAAGGATCTCTACACAATTCCTGGAAGCTGGAAATGGCCCAGTTCTTCCATGGCCTGCATACTCACCAGACATGCTACCCATTGAGCATGTTTGGGATGCTCTGAATCAACGTATACGACAGCGTGTTCCAGTTCCCGCCAATATCCATCAACTTCGCACAGCCATTGAAGAAGAGTGGGACAACATTCCACAGGCCACAATCAACAGCCCGATCAACTATGCGAAGGAGATGTGTCGCTGCATGAGGCAAATGGTGGTCACACCAGATATTGGCTGGTTTTCTGATCCACGCCTGTGACTTTAAAAAAAAAGTTATCTGTGACCAACAGATGTATATCTGTATTCCCAGTCATGTGAAATCCATAGATTAGGGCCTAATTAATATTTTTCAATTGTTAGATTTTCTTATATGAACTGTAACTCAGTAAAATCTTTGAAGTTGTTGCATGTTGCATTTATATTTTCCTACTACATCACACAGTTCTGGCATGATCTGTCAATTAGTTGTTTAAAAACTGAAAAATAACCGACATTTCGGTTAATCGCTCAGCACTAATAAAAACACTATCTGCCTTCCCAATGAAAACTAGTTTGAAAATTCTAACATTTTATGGAAAAGAGATGTATGTTTCTTTGTTGAAAACATGACCGAGCAGCGCAGATTACTGTTCGATTTGAGAAGGGTGCTCCTCCTTTCGGCCGATGACGTGACGGGTCATTGCCCAGTTCAACCCGCGCCAGCGTAATATAACTCCCATAGAAACGCATTGTGCTTATTTTGGACAGCTTTAGGCGAGAGTGAAACCTCTCGCTTTGCCTCTTCCTCTTTGCTAGAATGGAGAACGGCACCCGGAAATAGGCATAACTTCCTTTGGTGGCCTGGATGAAACAACAAGACCAGCAAAGATTATGGATATACTGACAAGATACATGTCTCTCTGCCCTAACAGTGGGAGTCGTTGTCCACAAAGTGGCACTGCTGTCTATCTCCCGCCTATGCTTTCTTTGGATTGGTGGATACATCTCATTATTGTAATCAATTTTTGAATATTCTATGAGGGTTGTTGACTTCAACTGCCTGTATTCAATGGAGAGAGATGCTATGCTACTAGCCTCATGTCATGAATATGCATAGCCATCTCGAGACAACTCCGATATAAAGTGTTTTTTCTTAACTTTGCCAAGATGTCACGTGTTCTACTTATATCAGTACACTCGTAAAAATTCAATCATTATGAAACTTCTATTCGGTTAAATAAACCTCACGTAGCAAATAAGACATAACATTTTTTGTTGACCAAATTCGACACTCATTGACCTCCATACAAAAACTCCTTGCTTGTTGGGCGAAACAACGAAAAAACGCCACCTGCTGGAAGGAGACAGATTTTGCCGACTGGCCTCATCTTCCTCTCTGAGGCCAGTCAGCTTTCCACTAGATAGCACAGCACAAAGTCAAAATATCATACAAAAATAGCTTTTTCGTTTTAATTTAAGGTTAGGGTTAGGCATAAGTTTAGCCGTATGGGTTAGGTTAAAATCACATTTAATACGAGAAATTGTGGAAATAGGTGTATTACTTTGTGGCTGTGATAACTAGACGACCGTCAAGCTGCTAGCTAGGGGTGGTCGAGATAAAGAGGGGCGACACAGAGCGTAATGAGTGACGGTGGATGGTGGTTGGAAAAGCGCGCTTATTTCAAATGGTAAAGCGTTGTGGTAGCTATTGATAAAAATAACACCAAGACGTGCTCTGTGGGATGCACTGTTGAGCGTTACATTCCGAGGGGTTTGTGCTGATTGTATGGAGATTGTGACAGCTGGTTAAATAGCTTCCCTTGAGAAGGCAAGAACAAGATGTATGTCAGGAGAAGTGCAGTATTATTTTACATTTTAGTCATTTAGCAGACGCTCTTATCCAGAGCGACTTACAGTTAGTGAGTGCATACATTATTACAAAAATATATAAAAAAATCATACCCCCGTGGGAATCGAACCCACAACCCTGGCGTTGGAAACGCCATGCTCTACCAACTGAGCTACATCCCTCAGGAGGAGAGATATCATAAGGAGACATATACTTGGAATATGGAGGAGGAATGGAGGGGAAAAGAGAGGCAGTGGAGGTCTAAGAGAGAGGGAGGAAGAGGGTGAGATTGAGTTGGTAAAAAATGGCGGGAAAAAGGGAGATGGTTTGTTAAAGAAGAATGGTAGAAAGTATAAGCAGAGTGAGCTGAAGACAGGAGGAGAAATGGAAGTGAATGAGGGCGAAGTATCGGAGGTGGTAGGTGTGGTGAAGATCTTGGAGCCCGAGGATTGCACTGAGGGTCAGTATAAAGATGAGTCTGTGACATTAAGAGTGAAGTTTTTGGAAAAAGTTGAACCTCGTCTTTTGGCTGATCCATTTGTGGTTTCAGGGTGGGTGAAAACAGATTTGGGTGCTGTGGAATCGGTGAGGGTAACCAGAAGTGGTCTTGTGATAATTGTTTGTGTTTCTGCTCATCAGAGAGAGAGCAGGTGCTCTGCGTTAAACGAATGGGGGCAAGAGATGTGAATTGTTTTGCGCTCAAGAAAAGGACACTGTTGAAAGGAGTGATTTACTGGGGTAGCAGTAAAAAACCAACTGAAGGGGTAGATTCCAGGTGTTTGTGATGCTCGTCGTTTGGTGCGACACAGACAGGGTGGCGTGAGTGGTGAAACAGAAGAGTCATTGTCTGTTCTGTTGAGATTTGATGTTGAGTCTATGCCCTACAAAGTGATGTTAGGATATATAAGTTATCCTGTAAAAGCTTTTTTGACGAATACATTACGTTGTTACAGGTGTCAAGATTATGGGCATGTGGCAGCAGTGTGTAGGAGGGAGGGTCCTAGGTGTGAGAAGTGTGCAGAAGGGCATGAGACAAAGGAATGTGTAGCATTGGGGAAAGTAGTGATATTTGTTAATTGTAGGGGTTCCCATGGGGCTGGGGATCAGAAATGTCCTGTGCGAGAGAGGCAGGTTGAGGTTTCCAGGGTTAGAGTAGTGCAGAAGTTGTCATATGCTGAGGCAGTGAAGAAAGTAGAGGAAGATGGGTCAAGGGGGAGGGGTCCTGAGAGGAGTGGTTTGAGTAGTAGATCTGTACCAGTACAGAGGGATAGGCCAACAAGTGATATATGTTTCAGTAAGATTGGATTTTTAGCATTTATAGCAATGGTTATCAACTGTATTGCAGGGATGGAACGTAAGTTGCAGAAAATTTAGGTTGTGGTGGCAGCTGCAGAGAGGTATTTGGGTGTGCTAGACTTGACATCAGAAGGGTTACAGGGTGTGTTAAGTGGTGGTGTCCCATCCTTTCAGGTTGTTGGCCTGAGGTAGGACTAAATAGATGTAAATAGTGGAGTATTGTGGTGGTATTTAATTATTATTATTACTTTTTTGTGAGTGTGTTGTTAGATGGTAGGGGATTTCTTTATTTTATTTTTATTTATTTATTCAAGCAAAGTATAAGGGAGTTGTAATCCAGTCTAGTAGGTGACGGTAATGCAACATTTATTGGATGCCAACCGCCGTTAAATCTCATCTCATCGAAGAAGAAGAAGAAGAAGAAGAAGAAGCCGCTGCTAGCTAGGAAGCGAGACACCCCACTTGCTGTTTTGGTTTGTTTTGGATTTGTTTCAATGGGGGTCATTGACCTTTGTAGGCCAGCCCCCCCTGCTATTGCATTGGTGTCTATGGGAGACACACCCAGTTAAGTTGACCGGAACTGAACATTTGTTTTCAATGGTAAACGGCCTGAGTGATCTTAATTTATCCACCATCTTTGGTGGGGAGACGTCAACAAGGATCCTAGTACTTCTCATGTAGAAAATGGCAAAATGGTCTATCGCAGGATAAATTTCAGAGCATCTTGGAACAAATACCTGGATTTCTAGTATTGTATGTAAGTATGCTCACGTTTCTTTCCTAGTGAGTTAGCTAGCTAGTTACGTAAAGCTACATGCTCAGTCAGTGACTATCTAACTTAGCTAATGTTAGTTAGCTTCGTAATAGCTGGCCTGTCACCTCCTTGCCTATTTTATTTATTGCCAATTTGGGTGTACATTTTGTGCAAACAAGTAGCAAGCTTGTTAGTTCACAGACCTTGTTCTGTCATTAAAGTAACATCAATACTTTTTTTGTCAGCTTTGGGGATTAGCATTAGTTAGCTAACGTTAGCTAGTTATGTTTGATAGCTAACGTTAGCTAGCTAGTTTGGTTAGCTAGCCAACTAACTAGGGATCCGGCAGGGTGGCTTACAGTGGTGGTGCTTAGGTTAATCTTCATCAACACTAGTTGTTAGTTTTGCAGTAATTAGTAGTTATGTATTGTTTCAGATTCGTTGAACGTTTTCTTTGCTGACATCAGTCCTTCACACTCCTTCCAAGGGCAAAATGATTCCAAGCTTGTCATGCTGACATCACATATCATATTAACATAAAATGAAGTTAATTTAACATTTCAGATATTACGTCTATTTTATGATGACTGACATGCATGAATGTCAGACATACTCAGAGTTGTTGAGATGTTGTCCCCAAATCAATAACAATGCCTTGGTGCCCCTGGGAGCTGTTCAGATGTGAAGGAGAATGTGAGCAATACTGTCTGTCAGCATGTTGTGGTATTTGTGTACCTGCACACCTACCACCGCCCAACATGGGGTCTTGTGTAGCCATACCAGAGAGGACGAGGCAACAGAATATACCACAATATTTGTCCATACTGACTCAGAAAGACACATACTATTTCTTAGTAAGTATGGCTCTGGCCTTGTGTAAAGACTTTTCTGGAATAGCTCCAGACTAATATAGCTAATCATTCTAACCATGTACTCTGCTTCCTCCTTTACAGTTTCACATAGGAAAGTTGGGGTTCTATGAGGAGGGATGCCTGTCGAAAGTGGAAGCAGTGCAGCCTCCCGCCAGGCCAAGCAAAAGCGCAAGTCCCACAGCCTGTCCATCCGTCGGACCAACAGCACCGAGCAGGAGCGCACAGGTTTACAGAGGGAGATGTTGGAGGGACAGGTGAGGACTGGGCTGGGGAGAGCCTGAGAACAACACAGAGTAGTGGAGCTTTCATTTGCTTTTGTCCAGCTGAATGTTGTCACCATAACTAGATACATTTTTTCCTATCTGAACACAAGCCAGGATAATTGTCTGATTGCATAAATGGTATAGAATGAGGCAATCCACACATTTCTGTGGTTGTTTGTTAGGTTCTTACCTTGGGTGCACTTATGGCACTGTGGTTTGCACCATTAGGCTCAATAGTTAAGTAGACCTAAGCCAATTACACTGTGATCCATCAGTTTAGAGGGCATGAAAATGTGTGGTGCTGTTCAACCATTAGAATCGATGCATGCTCTTCTCTCCCAGTCCATTTGACTAAGTTCAACATCACTTAGTTAAATCAGTCATGTGAGATAAAGTATATGGATGCAGTTAGAATAACATAATATATTCAATTCATGGTGGGGGAGCATTTTTAGTTATGGATTAGGCTACATGAGATGAAATAAATATACTTCACCTAACAGAAAATATCAATTAACATTGAGTTGATGTAATCCAGGTATTTAGTTAATTTTGTTATCGTTCATTCAATGATCTTAGTTCCTGTACTTGCATCTCTCTGTATTAGCTAGGTTTTCTACAATAAAAAAATGAACAAACCGATTAAGATCAATTCTGTCTTGCCACAAGGTTGAACAGTTTACTGAGAAAGGGATCACTGTCAATGCCACTTGCCTTTTTCAGGATTCCTTTTTCATTGTAGAGTATGTTTTCAGGTCTTCTCTGCTATTATGGTGGTAGCATGTAGCGTTACTTCAGAGCAACAATACACATTTTCTCTTACATTATTCGGGACATGGGGCAAAGCACTTAATCCAACTTTTTTGTTTTTACTCTGGCTACTTTGAGTAGTCTAAGTCTGCTGATAATCTGCATCACTATTTGAAACCTGAGGTAAGTTGGGTGTTTAGAAACACTGTGTCAGAATGTAGAGTACCTTCTCAATAGCATACTATATAGTTTAGGTGTAATGTTGTAGTGTTCTCTCTCCCTAGGTTCATTCACACACTGTGCATTTCCTTTCCCCTTGCCAAATGGCCCAGCTCTATTAAATCCACTGGTAGCTTGATTCAACATGCTCTGTGCTCCTATCCAGAAAATCTGTTTCAGTATTGCAAATCTCTCTGTGCTATACATGTTCCATCAAATTCCCCCCCCGAGCAATAGCCTACTCTTTAAACTAGACTACCCCATCCTGCTTTGCTGTTCATTTGTGCATTGTGGTGTACTGGTACTTGTCCTTTCTCCAGCTGCATCATGGCTTGTTACTGTTAGCCTATGAATGCAAAGAGCATCTCTACTGAACTCCTTAGAAAAAAGCTGGACCTGCAAGCAAGGGTACAAAGGGCCTGTATGTGTTAGTCCCTGGACAGACTGTGCTCTTGTGGCACTAGGCCATTCAGCTCACATCAGTGCTCTGGTAGAATAAGCATTTATATGTTAAAAGGAATGACTTGGGTAGATTTTTCCTTCTGGTTTGTAACAGAGAGTCGGGGACCATTTTGTTGTGTTTCTGACATCCTCCCTCAACACTTACTGTCCTTGTGTAGTGGTAACACAGTTGATATTTAGTTGTGTCTGTGTTAGTTTCCCTATCTTCACCCTTGAATGTTTGATTGTATTATTAGCCTCGTTTCCTATTGGGTTACAGTTCCCTTAGCACTAGTAAATGATTAGTTTTTCAGTGTCCTTGCAGGAATATAATGGTATATAGTTTGCTATTATAGCAGTAGGACCAGGCTCACCCATTTTGTGTTTGTGTTCTTGGTCTCATTATAAACCAAAGGGTGAATTATTCTGTTATCTCTTCCCTATGTTCCCCTAAAATATTAATAATATCCCAATGATCAATTTCTCCCCTATTTATGCATCTGCAGGATTCCAAACTACCATTGTCTTTGAGGAGCAATCTTTTGGACCTCTTTGGCCAGATCGAGAGGGAGTTTGAAAACCTCTACATTGAAAACATTGAGTGTAAGTACAGCACACAGATTGGTGGATAACATTTCTATAGGTGTATGTGCATGGCTATCATTGGAGTGGATGTCACTTAATATGATTTCACCCTGTGTACAGCACTAACCATATGTGAAAATGTTTTGATGATATCTGCTTGATAATCCCATTGCTGTCAGTATCACTCAATGTGATTTCTATTCATTTGCAGTGCGTAGAGAGATTGAAACCCTGAACGATCGTTTGACAGCTGAAGGACAAACCATCGACGGGGGAGACTTGACTAAGGGGGCACTTAAAGCAAAAGGTTTGAGAGTGCAGAATTTCCTTTGACATTTTAGATAGTTTAGCATAATTTCTGTTCAACACATGTTAATACTGCTGTGAAAGGGCCTTAATTCCAAATAGAGTAAATGACATCGGGATCCACAATATGTTGATTAGAGACTTCACTGGCTTCTTATTCGGTTCTCGTAATGTGCTCTCTCCTCTTAACTCACAGCAAGTCATAGCACAAGTCAACTTTCACAAAAACTGAAGACCACTTATAAGGCATCTACAAGCAAGGTAAAATCTCTTATCTTTATCTCTGGCTTGCATAATATGTTATTTAAAAAATAATATTGTTGAGTAACTTGATATTATAATAATCATTTCAGCGAAGGGTTGACATTGTTCTATTAAAAAACACATTCTTATTCCGAAATTGTATACATTTTTTAGGAAATGTATCTAAAGGTATATTCATTAAAATACAGTTGGTTTGTACTAAATGTTCATTGAAAAAGAGCTATGAAAGTGGTCATATGGTCAGTGGTACATTTATTTCTATTTTTCACCTGTGCCATAGCGCTCACATTCTTTCCATGGCAAAGTAGGTGGTGGACCTCTTCCCACCTTCAATGTGGGGAACATTGTGGAGTTGTGTGGTGGAGACTCATGGGTAACAGGTTCTTCATTTCCCCCGTGTCCCCCCGCCACTATGCATGAGCAGCCTAGCCATGGGGCTGATGCACCATCTCCAAGACACTTGGTGATTGAAATGTATGACTTGTTGTTTTATAGACTAATTTACAGTGAGACATATTAAAGACACTAATTGATATCTCTCACTAACAAAAGCTTTCTAAGCAATTCATGATACAAACTTTGTTTTTTGTTTGTTTCTGCACTCACTAGAATGGAAGCACATTGGATTTCCAGGCTGTCAAGCACTTAGGCCTAAAGGCTGACAAGATCTCTGTGAAATGCCTTGAGCTTCAATGTCTTAAAGACAATGGTTTGAGTTGAAAGGGCAGTTGTGGGCTTTCCTTTGTTTCACAGAGTGAGTCAGTGCAATGACAGATGATTTTTTGGTCTTTCTATCATTACATTTACATTTTAGTCATTTAGTAGGATAAAAACAACCCCACATCACCGTTACTGCAAGTAGACTCTTCTTCGAAGTAGCTGCTGTCATGGCAACAGTGTGGTGGTCTGTTGGGATCAGCTTGGTTTTACGTCATTGAACATCAACCCTTTGGTTTTTACCTGCAGCCAGAGTCACACAACCTCATTATCATAAAGAACTACCCTATTAACACACATTACTTACAATAAGTTAGGATAATGCCTTGCTCTGTTCAATGTATGCTTCTTTTTATACTTAATGATCTATGTAATTTTCAGAAATGGCACTTAAAGACTTCAAGCAAACACTAATCCTTTCTTGAAATGCTGATGTTCACTGATGTAAAACAAGCATCAATTTGATAGGCTATACCCCATAAACTGCTAGGGGCCCTAGATATTTCACCTGTTTCTACCAGCTTTGTGGTATCTAACACACTTCCTGTTGCCTAATGGTTAAATGTAGCATGTTACCCCAGTGTTCTATTTAAACTGGTTCTGTAACCCTTAACAGCTCTTTAAGAGTATAAATGGCACTGCCATCTCTCGTATGGCCACCATTCACTACTTCCTGTTGATAGCTCTTCATTTTTTATATACCACAGTCTATGCACACCTTAAAAGTAATGTGGGTCTTCGTCTTTCATAGGAACACTGTATTAAATCAGACCTGGTAACATTTAGAAAACCATTCAATTCTATCTATGTCATTCCTGAAGTTTTTTCTGAAATGATTTGATAGTAATTCATTTTGTATTGCACCGTTGCATGTATCTCGCACCACAGCCTCAGGCTATGTCCCAAATGGTTCTGGTCAAAATAAGTGCATTATATAGGGAATAGGGTGCCATTTGAGGCACACCCTCAGCTGCTGTATCTGCAGATGTTTTATATGTGCTGCCCAGAGAGATCCAGAGCTGCTGTTGTTATGTTTGATAGGCTGCTGCTGCAGGCCTGCTCTGTGCTTACAACCAACCAACCCCTGGCTCAGCAATCACTGAAAATAAACTGCAACTCATCACATCAAAGTTGTGGATAGCATTTTAGTCTTCCATGGTGTTATTATGCTATAACTAGGCCTATCAACTATACGTTTATACATAGTGTTGATTTTTTTTCCACTTTAATTTCCATATTTTTCTGAAGGATGATTTTATGTTTTTTTGTATTTGGTTGCAATATTCTGGTTTTCCCAAAAATCTGGTAGTAGGAGTTTGGAATTCCTGCTTATTCCCTCCTGATTCTGGGAATCTTTCAACTGGGATTGCTGGAAAACCTGGGAATTTTGGGAAAGTTACCGGAATTCTGCAACCCTATTTTTGAATGTTGTTGAATTATTTTGAGGAGATATCTGACCTGCTTATTTGTCCCCTCTTGCTTTTACAGTGGGAACTTATTTAGTGGTTTGTTTCAAACACCTGCCCCTCCCAGAAGTCCAACTTGTTTTATCTCCATTTTAGATGTAAACATGGATACTGACTGATGATAATCATTTGACTATTATTATTTAAAATATTTTAGTTTTATTTAACCTTATATAGGTTAATATATTCTTTATCCCTTCTTCTTTCTTTCACAGCTTTGCATTTAAAATCAGTTTTGATTAATGACGCATAATAATTGTTGTGTCCATCATGATACTGAGGTGAATAAATAAATAATGATGATGGTTGTGACCCAAATGGCACCCTTTTCCCTATATAGAGCACTAGTTTTTACCATGGAATAGGGTGCCATATGGGATACAGCCTAAAACAACCCAAGCTTCTTAGCCATTGCAGAGGTATCATGCTGACTGTCTGGAGCCCTAATGACCCTTTGACCCCCACCCACCCAGTGCTGCTGTCCCTCCCTGCTTCCTCCCCTGCTTCCATTATGCTTCCTCCTCTTCATTCATTCACCTGTGTGTTAACACCATCATTGTGTCTCTGCTTCCTGCCCTTTAGATCGTATCCAGTTTTAAAGCCACCACATCCAGAGCCGTGTGCCAGCTGGTCAAGGAGTATGTAGGCCACAGGGATGGCATATGGGACCTGAGTGTCACCAGGACACAGCCCATGGTGCTGGGCACAGCGTCAGCAGGTAGATAGCTACAGTACACCCCAATGCCTTCCTGGTAGGGTTGCAAAATTCCAGTAACTTTCCTCAAATTTCCTGGTTTTCCAGAAATCAGGAGGTAATAAGTAGGAAATCTAGAACACCCCCCCCCCCACCAGGATTTCTGGAAAACCTGGACATTTTGGTAGGTTACCGTAATTTTGCAACAGTAGCTACAGTACATCCTAACAGGCGTCATGCCCATAGGGGGCACAGGGGAACGTGCCCCCTCAGATTTGGCCTGTTTTTAAAAACATATATTTTTAATTTATTTATTTCTCTGTAATATAATACTAGCCACCTCGCAATTTTATGAGGTTGGCTTTAGCTAGCCCAGATAGGTTCCCAATCTCCCAACCTCATAACTAGCTACCAAGAAGCCATTTCAGGCTATCAATCAAGTTAGAGTAGCTTGTTGAACTCTCTTAGCTAGCATGCCTGCTGGCAAGGTTTCTAGACTTTAGAAAAGCAAGCAATAACTAAATGTACTGAGTAAGACTCGCATTCCTTTCAATCTTTTACCCAGATTTTAGCAGAGATGCAGAGAAACATATTTAGTTTCTTTTAAAAAAGAACCAACAGTTAGGAGGATACAGACAGCTGAAGAGGTACGCTTAGATATGCAGAAAAATATACATATTTTTAATATAGAATTAAGCATAATGATTATGGCTCTAGAGTGCAGGAAAAAGCAGTTTCAGGTGTTTGAAAAATACAAAATTCTACATCTTCTGGACCACCCTCCAGCCATCCTTGTGTACTTTGTGACCCCTCATATTTTTGGGGTGCATGACGCCCCTGCATCCCAATGTCTTGTCTACTGGCCTTATTGTCCTCCTGGCCCAAGACTAACAATCGTGTTAGTGAGTCACATTTTAAACTGGGCGTCAGTAATGTTCAGCCTGATGGCTCTTTAAAATGCACTGCAGACTTTGGTTTGATATTCAATTAATTTAACTGTCAACAGGTGCGTGTTATTGTTGTGATAAAGCAATCATAAGGTCTGGTAATTAATGATTGCTTTCAGATCGGAGTGCTTATTGTGCTAAGAGGGGGCAAATGTAATTTGGCAATGATTACAGTATGAAGGTAGCGTGAACTGAAAGACTCATGAGTTACATCCCAAATGGCACGATATTCCTTATTTAGTGCACTACTTTTGACCAGGGCCCATAGTGCTCTGGTCAAAAGTAGTGCACTTTGTAGGTGTAGGGAATAGGCTGCCATTTTGGACGTAAACAATGATTACAGTTAACTATGAAGGTAGTGTGGCCTGAATGATTCATGTGTGTACACCACGTGTCTCTCCATACAGATCACAGTGCCATGCTATGGAGCATAGAGGCCGGAAAGTGCCTCCTGAAGTATGTAGGTCATGCAGGATCAGGTAAAATGTTTTTTTTCTTTCTGATCATTTGATCCATGAAATGTGTATTACATTTTAGTCATTTAGCAGACGCTCTTATCCAGAGCGACTTACAGGAGCAATTAGGGTTAAGTGCCTTGCTCAAGGCGGCTCTGGGATTAGAACCAGCGACCTTTCGGTTACTGGCACAACGCTCTTAACCACTAAGCTACCTGCCGCCGTGTATGAAGGAATGTATTAGTCTAAATTATTCATAGAGTGCGTCCTAAATGGCACCCTATTCCCTATATAGTGCACTACTTTTACCAGAGCACTTTGGGGCCCTGGTTAAAAGTAGTGCATTGTATAGGGAATAGGGTGCTTTTTGGGACAGGCCCAAAGTGTTATTGTGGAGGCTATTCATCAAAAACTATTAACAAAAACATCCTATGTTTGTCTCTTTCCAGTTAACTCTATCAAGTTCCATCCCACGGAACAGATGGCTCTTACTGGTAAGGATCTCTTGCTGAATGTCCACAATTGTCCGAAAAACACATTTGAGTCCAATGTATGTTCATATGTCTATTGGTTTGGGGTGTTTCGAGGTGTTTTTGAGGCCTCTATCTCTGCTGTGTCCACAGCATCTGGTGACCAGACAGCCCATATCTGGAGATACATGGTGCAGCTGCCAACCCCACAGCCTATAGCCGACATCAGTGTAAGCTTCTCAAAACCATGTCTCTTATAACCCACTGCATCTACAGATGTCTAGGTCTATATTCTGGTGAGTGTGTGTGCGTGTGTGTGTGATGTCTGTCTCTGTTTTCACAGCAGACGCCCTGTGACGACGACATAGACTTTTCAGATAAGGACGAGGCTGACTGGGACGGTGACGGCCCTAACGAGTGTCCCTCCATCCGTGTGGCTTCCACTACCCTCAGGAGCCACCAGGGGGTCGTCATTGCTGCAGACTGGCTGGTGGGGGGCAAGCAGGTGGTCACAGCCTCTTGGGACCGGGCTGCCAACCTGTACGACGTGGAGACCTCCGAGCTCGTCCACTCACTGACTGGTACGGCCATTTCCCCCGACTTTTCGTACATTACAACATCAATGTAGAGGAATACCACCACATGAAGGCGAAACAAACAGAAAAAGCTAAACAGAAAAACCTTAATGTGTTGTTTCTGTGTCTGTATAATGGTCATTGCATTGTTTATCTGCCATAAGGGCTGTTTTGGATTAAGTTGCCAATTAATGTCCATTATGAGGCTATGTAACTGTTCTAGGCTTTTATGTCCTATTCCAAGTGACTCTGCCTTACCTCTGAGCCATGTGGCTGTGTGTCCAGGCCACGACCAGGAGCTGACCCACTGCTGCACCCACCCCACCCAGCGTCTGGTGGTCACCTCATCCAGAGACACCACCTTCCGTCTGTGGGACTTCAGAGACCCCTCCATCCACTCTGTCAATGTGTTCCAGGGACACACTGAGTGAGTCTCACACACACACACACACACACACACACACCCTTTCCGTCTGTGTGACTTCAGTGACCCCCTCCAACCACTCTATCCAGGGACACACAGTCAGTAGCACCCCTACAAATTTCATGCAGAAAGCATCTCGACACCCGTAATGTGGCATTAATTATCCATCAATTAGCATTAATAAGCCATGTGTCCATTTAGATTACAGGGGCTAGATTTGGTCTGCCCACAGTAGCGGGTGAGGGCACAGCTAATCAGCCATTAGCATCCAGAACAAATGATACTGTGATACATGAGTCAGTCAAGTGAATGAAGGAGCTGGTGACCTTCAGGCCTCACAATTTCCCACCCAGACGTCATGTGTGGTGTAGTAAATATCTAGGTATTTTTCTCAGACTGCAAATTTACAGTAATGCTAATAAGGCCTTGGTCCCTAGAATGCTACTTGTTATGGTTCCTGGAAAGGACAACAGCAGTGTTTCAGTGGTTCATAAAGCTATTTTTAAACCCCAAAGAGCAAGCAAAGCTGGTGAATGACTAACTCTTTTCCACCATGTCATATGTCTCTAGCACGGTGACGTCAGCAGTGTTCACTGTGGGGGACAACGTGGTGTCTGGGAGTGACGACCGCACCGTCAAGGTCTGGGACCTCAAGAACATGAGGTCACCCATAGCTACCATCCGCACAGACTCTGCTGTCAATAGGTGAGTGAGAGTTTCTGAGTGAGAGTTTGTGAGAGAGTGAGTGAGTGAGAGCAGGAGCACAATTTATTACGGAAACCCCTTATTAGGTAGAGAGTGTGTATGGTTGTGAAAAAGAAAGAGGGGAAGGGATTAAAGATACATTTAAAAGGGGTGATTTAAAGCCTCATGTTTTACTGTACTTTGATAGTTTTACAGGATAAGTGTGTCTTACTAATAAAGTATTGGTTTTAAGAGTGATGTTTAAGAATCAATGTTGTTAGAAAATGTAATTCATGGATTTTTTTAAAAATTCCTTATAGGATAAGTGTGTCAGTGAACCAAAGAATCATTGCTCTTCCTCATGACAATCGTCAAGTCCGGCTGTTTGACATGTCAGGAGTGCGGCTGGCTCGACTCCCACGCAGCAACAGACAGGTAACCAGCACCAAGCAGCCTACAAATCGTTCTTCCACATCAGTAGTGGAAACAGTGTGGTTTACACTGGACTGTAATCACAACCTATTTCCATATTACCTCTCATGACTAGGCTGCTCAACCAGTACCAGACATGACTAGGCTGCTCAACCAGTGAACTATGGACTGCCACTTCTGTCTTACCCTTAGCCCTGATGGTTTTCCAAAGGATATGTCTTTTAGTTTTTATTGTGTTTACTATTTTCTTGTGCGTAGTGTATTTATATGAATTGTCAAATAATTCAGCATCGGCTGCCATTGATACTTTCTAATGTCGAATTTTTGAAATAAGCCATTCTATATATAGACTGAGTGTACAAAACAATAGGAACACCTTCCTAATATTGAGTTGCACCCCCTTTTGCCTTGAGAACAGCCTCAGTTCGTCTGGGCATGGACTCTACAAGGTGTCAAGTGTTCCACAGGGATGCTGGCCCATATTGACTCCAATGCTTCAAACAGTTGTGTCAAGTTGGCTGGATGTCCTTTGGGTGATGGACCATTCTTGATACACACGGGAAACTGTTGAGCGTGAAAAACCCAGCAGCGTTGTAGTTCTTGACACAAACAAACCGATACGTCTGGCACCTACTACCATACCTCGTTCAAAGGCATGTTATAAATTAAACGTATTGTTATTATTCCCAGGGCCACCGGCGCATGGTATGCTGCTCAGCCTGGTGTGAGGATAACTCCTCCTGTAACCTGTTCAGCTGTGGCTTCGACCGGCAGGCCATCGGGTGGAACATCAACATCCCAGCGCTGCTGCAGGAGAAGTGAGCCCAGCCAGGACAGGTTAGTTTTCCCTCGTTTACCGTCATTTTCTGACTATAAGCCGCGCCTTTTTTATGGTAATTAAACATTAAAACACCTGCGGCTTATAGTCCAGTGCGGCTTATATATGTACACATCATTCAATATCATTCAATTTAGCTGCTGCGGCTTATACTCCGGTGCGCCTTATAGTGCGGAAAATACGGTACTTTTATCCTATGTTTTCTTTTGGTTTCTTTTTTCAGGGCTGGTTTTCCGGACACAGATTAAGCCTGGTCCTAGACTCAATGGAGAATCTCCATAGAAATTGCTTTATGGTCCCGGACTAGGATAAATCTGTGTCTGGGAAACCATGTGCTATTCATTATATATTTTTGACATTACTACTCTTTATTTTCTCTATAAATATCTGAAAGGGGAGGGGCTTTAGAAGCCTATTTTAGTTATTTTTTTACCCGTCACTGCACATACTTTTGTTTTGTCTTTTAATTTTCTGTAACTGTAAGTCACTGTGGATAAAAGTGTCTGCGAAATGAGTTAAATGTCATTGTATTGTTTTGTCTTTTTCTTGTGTGCAAATTAAAAAACAGGTCCAGAGTCAGCCCTGAGCCACCCGCCTGGCCCATCTGCTATTTGAGCCCATCTTAAGAGCTGATCCCTGTTCAGATCAGTCAGACACCCCGACCCTCAGGCAGGGAGGGGAGAAGATCGATCAAGGACCCCCCCGGCCGCTCTCTCTCTGTGTCAAGTCTTCATGTTCTTCTGACACTCCAAATGTGGTCACAGTCTGATCTGCATGGTCTGAATATACATACCATACTACATACATGTGTGTGGGGGATTTCAAACTTGCCCATGTATGTACAGAAAATGTGAAGGACTACTCTCTGCTTTGTTGTTGGGCTTGTTTTGATCAGTGTATTCATCAATTTGCTGCTGAAGATAAAGAGCACAGTGTCAAACAGGAGGTACGGGGGGGGGGGGGGGGGTTGTTAAATGTAGGTTGCCTAATTTTCAGTTCAGAACAAGTCTGACCCACATAGATGGTGTAGCCTTTGATGAGGATGATGAGGATGATGATCAGCATTTCATGGAGACTTGTGTTCTGAAATGCCACACATCTGCTTTCTACCTATCTAACCTGCTCAGATGTACAGCTAGCCAAGCTATATATCTGTCATTTTGGCAGAGCCACACTTTGAAAATGTCTACAGGTCCATGACAGTCTACTGCTGTTTAACTGAGCTCTGCTTTGTACAATACAATGAGGCTCCTGTACAGTATAGTGAGTTTTCAGGTGGCTCTGTCATGTACCCTTTAAAAACAATAGCTGTTACAGTTTTTTTTGTTGTTAAACACTTTTTAGCCTAAATCCCATTGTAGCTTTTGTACAGAATTTTAAGAAACCTACTCCTAGACAATATGTTGTACCATTGGAATAATGTGTGTAAACACTCCATGTTTGAGGGTTGAGGTTGATCGTCTTCACCATTTCAATAGGCACGTCATTTGTGTGTAATATTCATAAATGAGTCTTATAAAGTAAACGTTATGAAATTGCTGTTAGAGTTTACGAACAATAGTAACTGGTAAAGTGTATCTTCAAATATTTTAGCAGTGCCATTAGTCAGTATTGAAAACCTGTTACAGGGATATATAGACCAGTCATATTTGTTACCACGTGGTACTTCCTAGCGTAAGTAAGTGAAATCTCGTTAAGAGCGTTCTAATGCAATAGCTGTAACATGCTTGTGTGGTCAGAGATCATGGCGTTAATGTCTGCTGCCAAAACAACAAACTGCATATAAAACTAAAAGAAGAAGATATTGTTGTGATGTGTTTGGGGGAACAGTGTAATATCATAAAGTACCTGAGTCTGTTTTGTTTTTAGATGAGAGTCGATGTTGGGCTCTAAAACATTTTGAGCGTAATTGTCTGCAAGAGTCACTTGGCAGGCAGCACAGTTGACTAAATTCCTGCTCTTCCCCAGACAAGTGATTAAAAAAGATCTATGTGTCTGTATCTCATGAGTAAATGAGACGAGCCAGTTTTATTGCAGTACTAAAGGCTTCTGTAGAGACTTTTAGGTATACTTTGTGTTTTGCCAATTTATAACAAAATGATGATTGTTAATATTGATACAATAACAGCCACGTTGAACAGCTTATATCCCATATTGAATAGTTATCGTGCCATGTCTAAAAAAGGCATGAAGAAATGTGTAGAAGAGGCCAACGGTTTTAAGTGGGCATAATTTTACTTTCACAATGAATCTCACATCTGGTGCGAATTAAATGTAATATATTCCGATATATTCAAAGTGGCCCATTTGGCTTAATGGTGTATTACGGCTGCAGATTTTATTAGCCTTTTAACGTTATGAGGTGCTCTTTTAATTTCTACTAGTTCTTCATCCTGTGCAGTTATATCAGTTGGATCTCTTAGGTTCCATTGGGCTGAAGTATTGTTGCTTTAATCTATAGGGGTTTGTATCTCAAATACTGATTTAGTTGTCATTCTCACGTATCAATTACATCCGGGATGTCTTAGAGGGCTACGGCTAGCCTGGTCCCATATCTGTTTGAGCTCTTGCCAACTCAATTGGTCATATTAATTATCAAGCCAAACATTACAATGTGCGAATTCCATTATGCTGAGCTGCGGGGTACTGGTCTATGGCCCATGACGTGAACGGGCAAAAGCGGTGGGGGAGGAGCATCCTTCTCAAATCAAACGGTAATATGCGCCACTCGGTCATGTTGTCAACATAGTTTTCATTGGGAAGGCCGATTTTAAAGCGTTTTCTATCAAAAGCAATCACTTTTGCATGTGAACACAGAATCCTACTCAATACTCCACGTGCTTAATTACGTAACTTTTGTTTTGAGGAGACTTCACGCGGCACCTGGCTCAAGCCCGGGAGACAGCTTGGTTCCAAAGCAATCAACTTTCACTCGGTGCAAAACACGTCTACCAGGGCGCCTGGGCCAGATTAATCAAATCCCCTCAATGAGTGACAAGGAGTTGGCATGATGGCACAAACAGACTGGCACTCAAGCTAGGCTACTGCAGAATGTGTGCAGTCCTATGCATGACTACCACATGATGTAGTACTGCATTGATTCAGTGATTATAGTAGGCTGTTAAATGGGTTGGTAAAGTAAAATAACAGGTGCCTCTTGGACCGTAGCTGTCCAGGATTGTCGTCATCCCTGATTTAAGTGAAACAGATTTGTTTGAATGGCAAAAATATAAAATGTGTGGTCTTACTGGCCTGTGAATGTGTAGTTTAAAGTGGTTTTCCAGTATTTTCTTATTTGCAGAAAGTCTATCTACAGAACTGGATTTGATTGCACCTGAACTCTAGCCAGGTCCCAGATCTGTTTGAGTTCTTGCCAACTCCATTGCTCGTTTGGCATTTGTTACAATGAGTTTGCATGATAGCACAAACAGACTGGCATTCCAGCTACCAGAACTCCTTAATCACACATTCTGAGCCACCATGCTTAGCTAGTTGAACATGTTTATCATCACCTTTAATAGTTTTATTATTATTTTATTATTTACATTTCAGTCTCATGGTTTTGTCTCTCTTAATGTAAATCTGGTCCTGTGTTTCTGCTTGGTTGTGTCCCAAATGTCACCCTATTCCCTTTATAGTGCACTACTATTGAAATGAGCCCTTTGGGCCCTGGTCAGAAATAGTGCAATACGAAGGGATTGAGGTGCCATTTGGGACGTAACCCTCATCATTACATCATACAAACTTATCAACAGAAATCAACTGTGTAAAAATGTGTTTTTTACCTAGCTAATTATATTTTAAGAGGAGCACCACTAGTACACACATCTCATAACATGAAACAGTTTTTGCTGACAGCGGTGTTGTGTGAGTGAGATAGCTATGTATAAGGTACAACAGCTTGTGAAATAAAATAAAATGTTGTGCCATTTTATTCCCTCAGATTGTTACCTCTTTGTGTCGTAGTTCAGCCTTGCTTTGAGTCATTTGCCAAATTACCATTACATCGCTTCAGTGGGATGAGGATAGTATTACATTAATTGTTCAGTCTGTTATCACCCAGTTGTCAGAAAACACCCAGTGGCCAATCACTTACCCTGCCTTCATGTACATGAGTGGCGCAGCGGTCTAAGGCACTGCATCGCTGTGCTAGAGGCATCACTACAGACCTGGGTTCGACCCCAGGCTGTATCACAACCGGCCGTGATCGGGAGTCCCATAGGGCGGCGCACAATTGGCCCAGCGTTGTCCGGGTTAGGGGAGGGTTTGGCCGGGGGGGAGGGGGGGCTTTACTTGGCTCATCGTGCTCTAGCGACTCCTTGTGGCGGGCCGGGCGCCTGCAGGCTGACCTCGGGCGCCTGCAGGCTGACCTCGTCGTCAGTTGAAGGGTGTTTCCTCCGAAACATTGGTGCGGCTGGCTTTCGGGTTAAGCGGGCGGGTGTTAAGAAGCGCGGTTTGGCGGGTCATGTTTTGGAGGACACATGACTCGACCTTCGCCTCCCGAGCCTGTTGGGGAGTTGCAGCGATGAGACAAGATTGAAATTGGTGGGTAAAAATGCAAAACATTTAAATAAATATCTCATACCCCAGCACATTGATCTGGTACTGGTAGTCCCTGTATATAGCTCCGTTCTTGTGTATTTTATTCCTCGTGTTACTATTTTGTATTATTATTGTTTAACTCTGCATCATTGGGAAGGGCTCATAAGCAAGCATTTCACGGTTAAGTCTACACCCGTTGTATTCCGCGCATGTGAAAAATACAATTTCATTTGATTTTGATTTGGAAAACTGGCAAAGACCAAGTAGAGGATTCTAAAATTGCAAATTTACTGCCTTTTAATAAAAATAGTAATGACTATTTTACATTTGACAGTCAATGATATTGATACAAAATACTAGCTATATGACATGTGCAATTGTAATGTAGAGAAAACATATATTTATGAGAGTAAATTACTGTCAACACCGTCCATCCACATAAAAAACATACAATGTAACACTCTCAGAACTTGAAATGTACTCTTTGAACCACTAGATGTCAATGCTCTTTCATGTTTCTCATGGCCAGTTTCACATACTGTTGTCTACTGGTTCCCCAGTACTCTAATGACAATTTGTCTCAAATTATTTAATAACATTCAAATGTAAAAAATGAACAAGACAATACATGACAGAATGGTTGAAAGGATGTATGGTATGCATTGCAAGGAGACACCACAAAATAAGGGGAGCTCAAGTGAGTAACTCAACAGGTGTGGGTGAAGGATCACTAAAGGGGAAACGTCATCTTTTGGTTACTATTGATATATGACTAGCAGGACTACAAATTCAATATAGATAAGCAAATTGTGCAAAGAAGCAATCCAGGGAATTTTCGCTAGCCAAATTCCCTCACACACTCACTCATACAGATAACTGCCAAAATAAAGGAAACACTAACATAAAGTGTCTTAATAGGGTGTTGGGCCACCACGAGCTAGAACAGCTTCAATCCACCTTCATATAGATTCTACAAGTGTCTGGAACTCTATTGGAGGTATGTGACACCATTATTCCACTAGAAATTCCATCATTTGGTGGTGGAAAATGCTGCCTCAGGCGCTGCTCCAGAATCTCCCATAAGTGTTAAATTGGGTTGAGATCTGGTGACTGAGACGGCCATGGCATATGGTTTACATCGTTTTCATGATCATCAAACCATTCAGTGACCACTCGTGCCTTGTGGATGGGGGCGTTGTCATAGTAGAGGTCTTAATAGGTCCACCCGAAAACGAATACCCGATGCCCGACCCAAGTCCAAAATTCTAACTTTTCCCTCAGGTTCGGATCGGGTCCTGTTTGATTGTCATCAGGTTTTGGGTCTAGGTACTACAGCTGATAGACCCGAGCGTACCCGAATGGACCTGACCACGGCTCTACATAGTCTATAGCATATCTATTTTTACGCTAATAAGGTGATTGTATTGATTTATAGAAGGCCTATTCAACATATAAAGACCCATTTGTTAACCAGAATAGCAATTTGGTTGCAAATTTAAAAAAAATATCACTCTGGTCCTATCGGGTCTGGTCTAGACCTGGAACTGTAGGGTACGGGTCGGGTCTAGGTCTGGTTTTTGTCCGGTCCATTCGTGTTCGTGTCTGATTGTTCTCCGGTCCGTTTGGGTCCGGGTCCCCCTTCTTAAGAAATGATCGGGTCCGTTCGTGTCCGGGTACAACTTTTTGGACCCGAGAAGACCTGTAGGGCAAGGCTCCCCAACTGGCATCACCCGGGGGCAGTTTTATTTGTCCACTCAAGTTTTCAGAGCAAAACTATTATTTTCTTATTTTTTTGGAAATCTGTTCCTAAGTATTCCCACGCATAATAGAGAGACACGTGATCGTATAAAAATGTAAGCAAGGTTTGAAATGATTATGTTTTAGTCAAATATTATATCTGTTTGGGCTTCTTGTGGTCAATTTGCAGTCTAGAAATTATTTGTCATTATGTTCCACCCCCTGACCATCTGCTCAATAAAAAATGGGCCCTCGGCTGAATCTAGTTGATGATCCCTGCTCTAGGGCATAGCCATGGTAGCCCAAATAATGGCCTGCCCAGCATTTTTATACATGACCCTAAGCATGATGGGATATTAATTGCTTAATTAACTTGGCTTTCAATATACTTTCTATCCTTCATTTACTCAAATGTTTCCATTATTTTGGCAGTTACCTGTTCCTATCATGGTAACATTGTATTATAGGACCTCTACGGTCTTAGTGACCACGATAGGAAGAGTGCATGTGTATGTGAGTGCGTGTGAGGGAATTGCTTCTTCTATAAGAACCCCTTACACACTGCTCTGGAAGTGCTCCTGTTCTGGTGGTTTCCTGTTCCAGATGCCCAGGCCTGCCTCCTGCAGTGAGAGGACAAACTTCTGCTTGGCTCTCTGGTAGGCCCCCGCTGTCATCTTAGCTCCACAGTACGTCTTTATGGCCTTCTCGTCACCCAACACTTGTCCTGGCCTGCTCAGCTGAGGAGAGAGAGAGCAACAATAAGAAAGGCTTGGGTTAATAAAACACCACCCAGACAGAATAAAAACTAATGAGCCAACACAAACTGCAACAGCTGGGCTATCTTCGCCCATTTACATTTCATCAAACAAATTAACATTCCACAGGCTTTGCTTTATTCTCTCTCTCTCTCTCTCTCTCTCTCTCTCTCTCTCTCTCTCTCTCCTCCTCTCTCATCCTCCTCTCTCTCTCTCAGAAAAAGATCTCCTCTGTCTCTCTCGTGTCCCTCTCTCGTACCTTCTCCTCGTCTCTCTCTCTCCTCTCTCCTACTCCCTCTCTCTCTCTCTCTCTCTCTCTGTCTCTCTCTCTCTACAGCCAGGATGTATTAGTAGATGACTGTGTTTATTCTTGCACGTGATACTGAGTGCATGAAGCCTTTTCTGTGGGAAGCTATTCAAATGCTTTTCTAAATAATTATGACTCTCTACAGTCATCAAAATGTAACCACTGGCATTTGGAACAATAAAATGCACCGGCATACATACAGTGGGGAGAACAAGTATTTGATACACTGCCGATTTTGCAGGTTTTCCTACTTACAAAGCATGTAGAGGTCTGTAATGTTTATCATAGGTACACTTCAACTGTGAGAGACGGAATCTAAAACAAAAATCCAGAAAATCACATTGTATGATTTTTAAGTAATTAATTTGCATTTTATTGCATGACATAAGTATTTGATCACCTACCAACCAGTAAGAATTCCGGCTCTCACAGACCTGTTAGTTTTTCTTTAAGAAGCCCTCCTGTTCTCCACTCATTACCTGTATTAACTACACCTGTTTGAACTCGTTACCTGTATAAAAGACACCTGTCCACACACTCAATCAAACAGACTCCAACCTCTCCACAATGGCCAAGACCAGAGAGCTGTGTAAGGACATCAGGGATAAAATTGTAGACCTGCACGAGGCTGGGATGGGCTGCAGGACAATAGGCAAGCAGCTTGGTGAGAAGGCAACAACTGTTGGCGCAATTATTAGAAAATGGAAGAAGTTCAAGATGACGGTCAATCACCCTCGGTCTAGGGCTCCATGCAAGATCTCACCTCGTGGGGCATCAATGATCATGAGGAAGGTGAGGGATCAGCCCAGAACTACACGGCAGGACCTGGTCAATGACCTGAAGAGAGCTGGGACCACAGTCTCAAAGAAAACCATTAGTAACACACTACGCCGTCATGGATTAAAATCCTGCAGCGCACGCAAGGTCCCCCTGCTCAAGCCAGCGCATGTCCAAGCCCGTCTGAAGTTTGCCAATGACCATCTGGATGATCCAGAGGAGGAATGGGAGAAGGTAATGTGGTCTGATGAGACAAAAATATAGCTTTTTGGTCTAAACTCATTCTTTGGGGATGCTTTTCTGCAAAGGGGACAGGACGACTGCACCGTATTGAGGGGAGGATGGATGGGGCCATGTATCGCGAGATCTTGGCCAACAACCTCCTTCCCTCAGTAAGAGCATTGAAGATGGGTCGTGGCTGGGTCTTCCAGCATGACAACGACCCGAAACACACAGCCAGGGCAACTAAGGAGTGGCTCCGTAAGAAGCATCTCAAGGTCCTGGAGTGGCCTAGCCAGTCTCCAGACTTGAACCCAATAGAAAATCTTTGGAGGGAGCTGAAAGTCCGTATTGCCCAGCGACAGCCCCGAAACCTGAAGGATCTGGAGAAGGTCTGTATGGAGGAGTGGGCCAAAATCCCTGCTGCAGTGTGTGCAAACCTGGTCAAGACCTACAGGAAACGTATGATCTCTGTAATTGCAAACAAAGGTTTCTGTACCAAATATTAAGTTCTGCTTTTCTGATGTATCAAATACTTATGTCATGCAATAAAATGCAAATTAATTACTTAAAAATCATACAATGTGATTTTCTGGATTTTTTGTTTTAGATTCTGTCTCTCACAGTTGAAGTGTACCTATGATAAAAATTACAGACCTCTACATGCTTTGTAAGTAGGAAAACCTGCAAAATCGGCAGTGTATCAAATACTTGTTCTCCCCACTGTATTTCATTTCACAGTGGAAATAAGGAGTGTTAAATGGAGACAGAAATGCTTGGTGAGCCAGCAGTGTGCAATTGAACAAAGATGGATGGCATCTCCATTGTAAGTATGGTCTTTTCCACTATCTGCAGTAAGCAAATAGTTTGTTAATACCTCTCTCCTCACTGCAGTAATACAAAAGATCACATGCCATAGTTGCAATACATACATTAGAGCTTCTGCTTACAACCTAATGGAAGTATCAATGGATGGCATTGTAAAAAATAAGTATCAAAGTGTGGACTCAGGGTTGCAGTGTGGGTTTCAGGCAGTGGTGGCTGGTGGCTCAGAGGACGGGCTCATAGTAATGTCTGGAACGGAATTAATGTAACGGCATCCTGTTTGATACCCTTCTATTTATTCCATTCCAGCTATTACTATGAGCTGTACTCCCCTCACCAGCCTCCACTGGTTCCAGGTAAAGTATACTGTATAGCTCCCCTGTTCATGACTAACCTGGTGGTGTAGTCTCTCCCAACGAGTGAAAAGGGATCTCTTGCAGAGTCTGGATGGTGTCCCTGAGTCTTTCCTCCTGCCTGTTGAGGTATCCACCACCTCCAGCTCCCCATCTCCAGCACTCCAGTTCACACTGAAGCTGGGGGACTTCCCTGGATGCCGACCCTCACTGCTGCTGAGGCCTGGAGACCACACAGAGATGAGACTGGGGTCAGGAGGGAGAGCAGAGAGGGACAGGTACGTACTTAACATGCACTCTTCAGATACCACATCATGAGCCAGCATAGAGGCATAGTGGAAGAGACAAGACCATGAAGAACATCTGGAAGAACGAGGTGTTTGTCCTGGAACAGAGTCACGCTCAGGTGGTCCTCACCGTAGGGAACGAGAGGAACGTCTTCACCAGGCAAGGTAACAGAATGACCTCATGACCTTTCCTTTCCTCCTTCTAACATTTTTAACCCTGAGTTACTGCCCAATGATCTGACTCCTAGACATGTAATGTGAACCTAAATATCTGAAGTAACCATATGATGTTATCATCTCTTAGATCTGGGTGACTTACAGCCGAGGAGTAGCCTGTTGTGTCTATAGGAGGAGGGCAGGGGGGCGATGTGCCCCATGCGTCGTGCCATGGTCCTTCCCAGGTGACCCGTGTGGCACAGGCTGCCCACAGTGAGGCTGTGGAGGTACACCGGCTCCACCAGGTGAGACAGGAGACAGCCCTGGAGACCAAGAACATTCCACCTGGAGATACAAGCAATAAGGCTAGAGATCAAGCAGGACTAGGAGCAGCGTCCCAAATGGCACCCTATTCCCTATATAGTGCACTACTTTCGACCAGATCCCCTGGGTCCTTGTCAAAAGTGGTGCACTATATAAGGAAAAGGGTGCCATTTGAGATGCAGCCTGGAACATTCCCATTGGAACAAAGGGAGAAAGACAAGCCCCCTTTATACAGTATGTTATACGTTTGTGACTCAGTGAAAATTGTCACTGTCTAGCTGCTGCTCACCTGGCCATTTTATCTGTGCAGGACATGGTGACGGGAGGTTCCCTCGGCAACCCCCTGTCCCATTTCTGATTGGCTCGCCGTACGCTGACAGGAAGTGTACCCTCACCGCCTTCCATCTTCATCCTCAGATGGCAGCGCAACTTCCTTACAAATCTGTGCCAGCTGTGGTCTGAGGGAGGAGACAACTGATGTAGCACCAACAAATGCAAACCTGCTCTACGAATCACAGTACAGGTAGATAATTTAAAGCATTGTTTTAATGTAACTGTACATTCTTCTTAATTCAGTCTTGTCGACTGCAAGTATGAATGAAATAAAGTGAAATAAAAATGTAGACATTTCTTACGTGTAGCTGTTACCTCGTAGGGGCAGTTGAGGCGTGCGTCTCCACAGGGCGATGAGCTCACATACATATGGAACAGAATACCATCTCTCAGTCTGTACCCAGACTCTTTGTCTCGCACAAAGATTGACTTCTCCAAACTGTCTGGCCAGTTACTAAACAAGGAAATGATGTTGTTATGATCATTTTGAGTATGAACTTTCAAATAAATTGTCACATGTAGCCTAATCACCCAAATAAATCTACACTATATATACAAAAAGTATGTGGACACCCCTTAAAATTAGTGGATTCGGCTATTTCAGCCATACCCATTGCTGACAGGTGTATAAAATACGCCCATGCAATCTCCATAGACAAACATTGGCAGTAGAATGCCCTTACTGAAGAGCTCAGAGACTTTCAACATGGCACCATCATAGGAAGTCAGTTCATCAAATTTCCGCCCTGCTAGAGCTGCCCCAGTCAACTGTAAGTGCTGTTATTGTGAAGTGGCCACACAAGCTCACAGAATGGGACCGCCGAGTGCTGAAGCGCGTAGCACGTAAAAATAATTTGTACTCAGTTGCAACACTCACTACCGAGTTCCAAACTGCCTCTGGAAGCAACGTCATGCCTAAGTTCACCATGCGCAATGCCAAGTGTCGGCTGAAGGGGTGTAAAGCTCACCGCCATTGGACTCTGGAGCAGTGGAAGCGCGTTCTCTGGAGTGATGAATCACGCTTCACCATCTGGCATTCCGACGGACGAATCTGGGTTTGGCGGATGCCAGGAGAACGCTACCTTCCCCGATTCATAGTGCCAACTGTAAAGTTTGGTGGAGGAGGAATAATGGTCTGGGGTTGTTTTTCATGGTTTGGGCTAGGCCCCTTAGGTCCAATGAAGGGAAATCTTAACACTACAGCATACAATGACATTCTACACGATTCTGTGCTTCCAACTTTGTGGCAACAGTTTGGGGAAGGCCCTTTCCTGTTCCAGCATGACAATGCCCCTGTGCACAAGGCGTGGTCCATACAGAAATGGTTTGTCGAGATCGGTGTGGAAGAACTTGACTGGCCTGCACAGAGCCCTGACCTCAACCCCATCGAACACCTTTTGGATGAATTGGAACGCCGACTGCGAACCAGGCCTAATCATCCAACATCAGTGCCGACCTCACTAATGCTCTTGTGGCTAAATGGAAGCCCCGCAGCAATGTTCCAACATCTAGTGGAAAGCCTTCCCAGAAGAGTGGAGGCTGTTATAGCAGCAAAGGGGGACCAACTCCATATTAATGCCCATGACTTTGGAATGAGATGTTCGACGAGCCGGTGTCCACATACTTTTGGTCATGTAGTGTATTTTGAGATGAAAAGGGTGTTTTATGTTAAACATTTCTCTACTTCAATCATCCTTGTGCACTTGACGTTGATGGAAACACGTTTAGTTATTCAGGGATTTAAAAAGCACCTTTAGTACAATGTGTTAATCAAGAATCAAAATTGATTCTGGAGTGATGGTGCACGGGCATAAAATAACATTTACAAGTGGCTCTTTTTAATATGGCACCAAAACATCAGCGCAGATAGGTAATAGCTGATATAAAATGTTTCACTTGCAACTTCCATTTAAAAGTATACAAGCAAAGATTATTCAACTTCATCCTCAGGGTTGAGGCCTTGTATGTGTCCCAAATGACACCCTATTCCCTTTATAGTGCACTACTTTTTACCGGAGCCCAGAAACCTGTTCAAAAGTATTGCACTATATAGGGAATAGGGTACCATTTGGGACGCTTTCCCTTGTGTAAAGATACAGTATATGACAGTATATATACAGTTTATTACAGTACAGTTTATAGTATATAATTAAGCAATAAGGCCCGAGGGGTGTGGTATATGGCCAATATACAACGACTAAGGGCTGTTCTTATGTACGACGCAACACGGAGTGCCTTGATACAGCCCTTAGCCATGGTATATTGGCCATATATCACAAACCCCAGAGGTGCCTTATTGCTATTATAAACTGGTTACCAACGTAATTAGAGCAGTAAAAATAAATGTTTTGTCATAACAGTGGTATACGGTCTGATATGCCATGGCTGTCAGCCAATCAGCATTCAGGGCTCAAACCACCCAGTTTATAACCTACAGTATATTACCAGAGGAAGAGCTCCAGTTGGGTGTAGAGGAAGCGGAGGAAAGCCCTCCTGGTGATGACCTCAGCATGGCAGTCATTAACCGTCCATCCCTGGTCACTGACACACGCTCCACTGAAACACTTGGTCCCTGTCCCCAGAGACACCACCTGGCCTCGCCTCACATCAAAACCTGGGCAGGGAACAATACACAATGTCTCTTACTAACCAACAACAAACAAAACTGCAAGGAACACTTATACAATAGCGTTGAGAGTCTTGTCCACGTCCCAAATGGTACCCTATTCCCTATATAATGCCCTTTTTTGTTTTACTTCTTTGGAGCCCATGGGTCCTGGCCAAAGGTTGTGCACTACATAGGGAATAGAATAGGGTGCCATTTGGGATACATCCAGACGCTTGTCTTTTTGGATATCAGTTACAGTAATTTGGCCTCAAACAGGAAATGTCCTTACAAACAACTTCATCTAATGAAAATATCACTGTAATAGACTAAGATTACTAAATAAATGGTTCTGAATAAGAAATGACTAACAGGACAGAATTTAATGCTCCAGTGTCCTACTATTTTATTTTATTTTATTTAACCTTTATTTAACCAGGTAAGACCCAACAACTAAGTTGTTGTCTTACTACAGCACCTCATGAAATATTTACAAAGATGGTAATGACTGTCTTATCTCATCAATCGTGATGGTATAAAGTTGCATCTTGTGTTGCAGAGCAAGCTGAGCAACTGCTTCTTTTCTTGTGAGGTCTTCTATATGAATGAAAGTCTGGGAGGGATTCCTATTGGATTCACTGCCTTTTGGGACGGCAATACCTGTGAAGCGCTGTGCCCATAGAAATAGAATGAATAAAATATAATTCATTGTAATTCTATGGTTTTGCCCACTCTCTCATCTTAGGTATTCTATAAGATCCAAGGAGTGTCTACTGTCTGATGAGAGTTTCCTAGATGTTCAGGTTTGCGAATAACCAAACCATGCTGGCTTCAACTGAAGTCACTAATATGCACTCCCAGTTGACTGGCATACTGTTGATGTGGGAATGTCACATCTAGGCCTATAAAGGCCTATATTCAAAGGCATTTGAATAATTTATGAATTATCATACATTTTGATGCTGGTATCTACAGTTGTATTAAAGAGAGATGCATCATTTCTCTTTAAATTAGAAACATATTTAAATGTGGTATTACAAGTCAATGAAAAGTGTCATTATGGTTGCATTCCAAATGGCACCCTGTTCCCTACATAATGCAATACTTGACCAGAGCCCTATGGGCGCTGGTTGAAAGTAGAGTATTATATATAGGGAATAGGGTACCATTTGGATGCAGCCCATAGCCTACCTCTAGTCATTACGATGCCTGCCAGTACTTTGTAACGGCTGTGTGACTGGGAGGTAGTGCAGCAACAGTCAGCTAGCTCACTGTGTTTCTCTCTCACCAAGTGGAAGATTGACTCTGCAAAGCACTGCAATCACACAAGTTAATGGATTACTTCCAAATCAAACAGAGAGTGGTCAAGATAACAGCTGTATTCACATCTACATAAACAGATAGTAGAGCAAACAAACGTTTGCCCACTAGTTGCTAAATCAATATCACAGTCACCAAAACAACCAGATAATAGTTGACATCGATCATCAGGTATGGTGGATGTGACACAAGCCTGCGTCCCATATGGGCTCTTGTCAAAAGTAGTGCATTATATAGGAAATAGGGTGTCATTTGGGACGCACACTGTGACGCACACTGTGACAGTGCTTTCAATTACTCTGACAGAGGTTTCTTCTCTGTCAACTCTCCATGAGACATACAGTATTAGATGAGCATTATATTGAGAGTATATTTGGGAATGATGAGACTATATTTTTTGGGGGGCTAACTCATCCACTTAATTTACATAATACATACAATACATGATCATTCAAGTTATCGTCCCACCCATCCCCTGATATCATCCCACCCATCCCCTGATATCGTTCAAGACTGGTCATTCAACTGAGACTGCTCTTCTCTGTGTCACGGAGGCTCTCCGCACTGCTAAAGCTAACTCTCCTCTGCCCTTCTAGACCTATCTGCTGCCTTTGATAATGTGAACCATCAGATCCTCCTCTCCACCCTCTCCGAGTTGGGCATCTCCGGCGCTGCTCACTCTTGGATTGCATCCTACCTGACAGGTCGCTCCTACCAGGTGGCGTGGCGAGAATCTGTCTCCGCACCACGTGCTCTCACCACTGGTGTCCCCCAGGGCTCAGTTCTAGGCCCTCTCCTATTCTCTCTATACACCAAGTCACTTGACTCTGTCATATCCTCACATGGTCTCTCCTATCATTGCTACGCAGACGACACACAATTATTTTTCTCCTTTCCCCCTTCTGATAACCAGGTGGCGAATCGCATCTCTGCTTGTCTGGCGGACATATTAGTGTGGATGTCGGATCACCACCTCAAGCTGAACCTCGGCAAGACGGAGCTGCTCTTCCTCCCGGGGAAGGACTGCCCACTCCATGATCTCGCCATCACGGTTGACAACTCCATTGTGTCCTCCTCCCAGAGTGCAAGGAACCTTGGCGTGACCCTGGACAACACCCTGTCGTTCTCCGCCAACATCAAAGCGGTGACCCAATCCTGCAGGTTCATGCTCTACAACATTCGCAGAATACGACCCTACCTTACACAGAAAGCGGCACAGGTCCTAATCCAGGCACTTGTCATCTCCCGTCTGGATTACTGCAACTCGCTGTTGGCTGGGCTCCCTGCCTGTGCCATTAAACCCCTACAATTTATCCAGAACGCTGCAGCCCGTCTGGTGTTCAACCTTCCCAAGTTCTCTCATGTCACCCCGCTCCTCCACACACTCCACTGGCTTCCAGTTGAAGCTCGCATTTACTACAAAACCATGGTGCTTGCCTACAGAGTTTTGAGGGGAACGGCACCTCCTTACTTTCAGGCTCTGATCAGACCCTACACCCAAACGAGGGCACTACCTTCATCCACCTTTGGCCTGCTAGCCCCCCTACCTCTACGGAAGCAAAGTTCCTGCTCAGCCCAGTCAAAGCTATTCGCTGCTCTGGCACCCCAATGTTGGAACAAGCTCCCCCATGACACCAGGACAGCGGAGTCAATGACCACCTTCCGGAGACACTTGAAACCCTACCTCTTTAAGGAATACCTGGAATAGTATAACAGTAATCCTTCAACCACCCCCCCCCCCCCCTCCCCATCCCCCCATAAAAAAAAGGGTGGTTGTCCCACTGGCTATCCTAAGTTGAATGCACCTATTTGTAAGTCACTCTGGATAAGAGCGTCTGCTAAATGACTTAAATGTAAATATCATCCCACCCATCCCCTGATATCATCCCAACCATCCCCTGATATCATCCCACCCATCCCCTGATATCATCCCACCCATCCCCTGATATCATCCCACCCATCCCCTGATATCATCCCACCCATCCCCTGATATCATCCCACCCATCCCCTGATATCATCCCACCCATCCCCTGATATCATCCCACCCATCCCCTGATATCATCCCACCCATCCCCTGATATCATCCCACCCATCCCCTGATATCATCCCACCCATCCCCTGATATCAGCCCACCCATCCCCTGATATCAAGCTTGGAGAGATGAAAGGAAAGGGGAAATTACATTATCTAAATGGCGATGGCACAAGGTAATGGGTAATGATGCGTAATGAGCGTATTCAGTAATTATTAATATGCTCTTCACACCTCCTCTGTCACGATCGTCGGGTACAGAGGACCACGGCGCAGCGTGGAAGGTGAACATATTTATTTAATTTGAATGATAACACGAACAAAAACAACAAACGATAACGTGACGTCTAAAGGTGCAAAACACAAACCTATACAGGAACAAGATCCCACAACCACTGTGGGAAAACCTGCTGCTTAAGTATGGTACCCAATCAGAGACAACAAGCAACAGCTGATACACGTTGCCTCTGATTGAGAACCACACTGGCCAACATAGAAATACTAAACTAGAACGAAAAACAAATGAAAACTCACACCCTGGCTCAACATACTAGAGTCCCCAGAGCCAGGGCGTGACAGTACCCCCCCCCAAAGGCGCGGACTCTGACCGCGCCAACCAAACACCACAGGGGAGGGACCGGGTGGGCACTCCGCCTTGGCGGCGGATCCGGCTCCGGGCATGATCCCCACTCCCTCTCTAACCCCCCAAAGTACCCCTGGTCCGGTCTGGCCCTGCTGACCGGAGCTGGACTGCACACTGGTGGAGCGGATTGCTCTAGCTCCGGCGTGAAGCAGCTGACCCGTGCCGAACCAGGCACCGGTGGAACAGGCACGGGCTGTGCCGGACTGACGACGCACACCACTGGCTTGGTGTGGGGAGCAGGAACGGGCCGAGCCGGGCTGACGAAACGCACCCCTGACCTGGTGCGGGGAGCAGGAGCGGGCCGGACCGGGCTGACGAAGCGCACCACTGACTTGGTGCGGGGAGCAGGAGCTGGCCGGACCGGGCTGACGAAGCGCACCACTGACTTGGTGCGGGGAGCAGGAGCGGGCCGGACCGGGCTGACGAAGCGCACCACTGACTTGGTGCGGGGAGCAGGAGCGGGCCGGACCGGGCTGACGAAGCGCACCACTGACTTGGTGCGGGGAGCAGGAGCGGGCCGGACCGGGCTGACGAAGCGCACCACTGACTTGGTGCGGGGAGCAGGAACGGGCCGGACCGGGCTGGCGAAGCGCACCACAGGCTCGATGTGGGGAGCATGAATAGGCCGGACCGGGCTGGCGACGCGCACCACAGGCTCGATGCGAGGGACAGGAACAGGCCGGACTGGGCTGGCGACGCGCACCACAGGCTCGGTGCGAGGGACAGGAACAGGCCGGACCGTACTGGGGACACACACCACTGGCCCTACGCGGGAACAGGAATGGGCCGGACCGGACTGGTAACACACCCCAGTACCTCTCGCCGTGCCTCTACACTTTCCTTCCCCTTTGTGACCAGTGGCCCCCTTAACCTGGCGGCCTCCTCTGCCAACCCGCTGGACCGCTCTATCGCGGCCTCCTGCTGCCCCGTCGTCCACGGCGTGAGCCCCCCCCTAAAAATGTTCTGGGTGTCTCTCCTCCCCGTGGACCAGGCCTCCCTAGTTCTCGCCAGACTCTCACCCCACTGCTCCAAAGTCCAACCTCTCTGCTCTTCACTTGGCTTGGCCCAGTCGAGACTCCTACTCAACTGATCCCAGGTCCATCCTCTCTCCTCTTCACGCTGCTTGGTCCTGTCTTGGTGGGATCTTCTGTCACGATCGTCGGGTACAGAGGACCAAGGCGCAGCGTGGAAGGTGAACATATTTATTTAATTTGAATGATAACACGAACAAAAACAACAAACGATAACGTGACGTCTAAAGGTGCAAAACACAAACCTATACAGGAACAAGATCCCACAACCACTGTGGGAAAACTGGCTGCTTAAGTATGGTTCCCAATCAGAGACAACAAGCAACAGCTGATACACATTGCCTCTGATTGAGAACCACACTGGCCAACATAGACTAGAACGAAAAACAAATGAAAACTCACACCCTGGCTCAACATACTAGAGTCCCCAGAGCCAGGGCGTGACATCCTCTTAATTTAAATCTCCTTCAGTCTGGGGCTCCTCCTTGATCGCTAATAGGTTGTGATGATAAGGTTCATCCTACAGTCTCACTGTGACACCGGCGCGTTTTGGACTTCTAACCCCTTTGAAACATTGTGTGTTTTACTGATGGGTTATTGCATTGGATTCACCTATTTATTCTGCATCCGCTGATACCAACCATTAGTCTGTGTGATTAATGGGGGCTGAGCCAGAGTGGTGTTTGTGAGACAAGGGTGGATCCTGAAAACGGTTCTTCTCACAAAAATGTCTGTAAAGTCTGAACGGTTTGAGCTACACATTTTTGTGATCCATCTCTCACGGAGACGCATGTAACCTGCTTTGCACTATCACAAGCCAAACAAGAGTCGTTCGAAGGTACTCTTTGAAGAGTATCTTAAATAACTCTCACGGCGCCCCCGACAAGCACTGATTTAGCTGATAAATACTTTGTTGAGGGAAATGTCCTTGATACGATTGAGATACAGCACCAGACAAAAGTTTGGACACACCTACTCATTCAAGGGTTTTTCTTTATTTTTACTATTTTCTACATTGTAGAATAATAGTGAAGACATCAAAACTATGAAATAACACATATGGAATCATGTACTAACCAAAAAAGTGTTAAACAAATCAAAACATATTTTATATTTGAGATTCTTCAAAGTATCCACCCTTTGCCTTGATGACAGCTTTGCACACTCTTGGCATTCGAAAAATTTGAACGGTAGTGTAAATATTGTTTTTATCAGGTTTTGGCTTGGCAGACCTTTCTTTAATTGACATTGACAGCTTTATTCATGAGTTATATTGACCAATGTCAAATTGTTTTACCTTCTACTTGTAGCCCTGGTTGTCCTGAAAATAAAATGGTAAAACACTTCAATGTGAGACTAAATATGAGGGCAGATAAGAAAATATGTATTTTTTTGAGAAAAAAAAGAAGAGTACAGATTATTGTATGGGACAATATACAAACGTTTTTGAATAAGGTCATTAGAAAAATAAATGTCTATTGAGTAAATGTATTTATTGGTTTCTTTTCATTTTTATAAGAGATAAAGTGCAATGAATTGAAGGTTATTTGTTGTAATTTACCGATTTTAAGGTTGTGTCATTAGATTTGGGGTGGGGTGGGGTGGGGTCACAAGAAATTCTTGGAAGAAAAAAAAATCGGTCCCCACTAACAAAGATTGAATACTACTGTTCTAAAGCATGGCAAAAGATGACAAAAGGAGCAGCTTTTCTGAGGCCAGACAGACATAACAGGGTTGTTAAGCTGCTGTGGTTGGGCATGCAAGCCAGGATAGCGTTAGTCCTGAGGCTCCTGGACATGAAATGCATATTGATAAGATTCACTCCATTTGGTGGCAGTCTGAGCACCTCTTAGCTATATTCAGTATGACCATTTATAAGATGGGTTGGATGGCCATGCTGCAGCTACGGGGGCAATGGACAGGGCATGTTCAATAACCCTGTTCAACCTGGGCACTTCAATGAGGATGTGAATGACTTGGAGGAATCAAAAACGTCATGCACTGTGATTGTTATATCCAAATTACAGCAAATTGAAACACTGCATCTCAACATTGGAAAGACATTGAACAGCAAGCAAGGCTTGGTACTTATTGCAAAATGAATTGAGATTTAAGAATTCTCCCCTATAGCTAGACAAAACAGAGTTAGGATTATGGTTAGAGTTCAGCTCAGAACTCCTACAGTAAGCCAGTGAAGGTAAGGTACCCACCTGAGGTAGCTGAGAGCTCTTGGCCCAGCTGGCAGTATGACTGATGCTCCTCTCAGGCCCCAGACTGATGTTAAACAGGTCCTGTAGGGCTGAGGCTGCTACCTGGGCTTGAGCCAGTCTCTTACTGCGGCCACAGCCCTCAAATATCCTCCCATCCACCCACACTGCCATCACAAAGCTCCTGATCGGCCTGCCCCGCACTCTCTCCGTCAGGCAGACGTACCTCAGGCCTGGCCTTAACTCATTGAGCAGAGCCACAGGCCTCAGTTCTTCAACAATGGAGGAACCAATTCTCTGCCTCTTTCTATTGGCTGAGGACATCAGGTCAAGGGTCAGGCATACCAGTCTCCCATGGTTACAAATGCTGGAGAGCAACTCCTGTCCCTTTTCCCCTGTCCTGTGGCTGTGATACAGGAGTTGTGTATCTCCCTGCGCTGGTGGCTCCTCAAATGGCAACTCCTTTCCGTCTGTCCTGTGGTAAAGGAATTGGTCTTCCTGTGCTTCTGGCTCAAACTCCTTGAAGAGCGTGTCAGGGACGAGATCGGCCTGGTCTGAGGTGAAGTCTGTTGGTGCTGTGGTGTTGATAAAGTTTAGGTTTCCCATGGTGATGTGAGCCTGAGGGGCGTTGGGGAACTGGATGAAGGACCTAAGAGCCATCTCTGCTGCCTTCATCTTAGCCTTCTTCTTGGTGGGGCCTCGGCCCTCGAACCTGAGGCCGTTCACCTCTACTCCTACAGTGAACACAGGGGCGTGAACTGGCCCTGTCCAGGATGCTATCTCATACTGTAGACCTGGTCTCAGCTCGTTCAACTGCACCAGGGCGTTCTTCTTTGTGACAGACCAGGAAGTCCTCATTGTCTTCCAACAGGTGGCGTCACTCCCAGGTGATGGTCCTCCCTCAACCGACAGTGCAGACATAGTCGTTGCGCTATCTGACGTAAAACAATGGGCCGTCCTCTTACAGATCAACTGGAGTTCATAGAGAAGCCTGTCTTTTCCTTCCATCAATGGCTGCTTCCTCTGTAGACCAGTAGTCCTGGAGAGCCTTCTGGAGATGTCAGTGTAAAGAGCTGATGGATGATGTGCAGGCTGTTGTATGGTGGAATAGTCCACTTGGTTTCTGCTGTGACGATTCTCCTTCACCTCAACGCTGCTGCTATCTGTTCCCCAATCAAGACAAGAACAAACATATTTGAGGAAACCGCCATGAAGTTTCACATTACGTTTATGAGATTTTTAAGAAAAGGCCAAACTACCGAAATGGGAAAGCTTAGCAAAAGCTGTAAATTGAAAGTATAAACTGATAAATTGCTGGTGTGCTACTCTGATTGAAATGTGGTGTGAGTGAATAGCGTTCAAAGGAAAATACATAAATAAATTACTTGAAGTGCCTCCATCGTCTTTTGATGTTGTTGTCCCAGTATCTCTAATCTTCATGGGGCCGATGAAGGATGACAGCATACTGGTTCTCTCTGAAACACAACAACAGAGACAGACAGTTACTGGGGAATCCACACAAAACATGACAAAACCCCAGGCGAAACCCCAGACATGTTAACCTACATTACAGTATATTACGCACCATTATGTCATCTCCAAAATAGTTTTTGTCATGATGGAACAGGGTTGGATATAGATTCATATAATGTACATACAGTGCATTCGGAAAGTATTCAGACCTCTTGACTTTTTCCACATTTTGTTACGTTACAGCCTTATTCTCAAATCGATTAAATTGTTTTTTCCCCTCCTCAATCTACACACAAAACCCATTATGACAAAGCAAAAACAGGTTTTTAGAAATTTTAGCAAATTTATAAAATAAAAAGCTGAAATATCACATTTACATAAGTATTCAGACCCTTAACTCAGTACTTTGTTGAAGCACCTTTGTCAGAGATTACAGCCTCGATTCTTCTTGGGTATGACGCTACAAGCTTGGCACACCTGTATTTGGGAGTTCCTCTCATTCTTCTCTGCAGATCCTCTCAAGCTCTGTCAGGTTGGATGAGGAGATTCGCTGCACAGCTATTTTCAGGTCTCTCCAGAGATGTTCGATCGGGTTCAAGTCTGGGCTCTGGCTGTGCCACTCAAGGACATTCAGAGACTTGTCCCGAAGCTACTCCTGCGTTGTCTTGGCTGTGTGCTTAGCGTCGTTTACCTGTTGGAAGGTGAACCTTCGCACCAGTCTGAGGTCCTGAGCGCTCTGGAGCAAGTTTTCATCAAGGATCTGTCTGTACTTTGCTCCGTTCATCTTTCCCTCGATCCTGACTAGTCTCCCAGTCCCTGCAGCTGAAAAACATACCCACAGCATGATGAGGCCACCACCATGCTTCACCGTAGGGATGGTGCCAGGTTTTCTCCAAATGTGAGGCTTGGCTTCCGTCTAGCCACTCTACCATAAAGGCCTGATTGGTGGAGTGCTGCAGAGATGGTTGTCCTTCTGGAAGGTTCTCCCATCTCCACATAGGAACTCTGGAGCTCTGTCAGAGTGACCATCGGGTTCTTGGTCACGTCCCTGACCAAGCCCCTTCTCCCCCGATTGCTCAATTTAGTCGGGCGGACAGCCCTAGGAAGAGTCTTGGATGTTCCAAACATCTTCCATTTAAGAATGCTGGAGGCCACTGTGTTCTTGGGGACCTTCAATGCTGCAGACATTTTTTGGTACCCTTCCCCAGATCTGTGCCTCGACACAATCCTATTCCGGAGCTCTACGGACAATTCCTTCAACCTCATGGCTTGGTTTTTGCTCTGACATGCACTGTCAAACTGCACAAACTGTCAGAAACCGTTTCAGGGAAGCTCATCTGGGTGCTCGTCATCCTCACCAGGGTCTTGACATAACTGCAGTTCGGTGTTGTAACCAACTTCAGTTGGCAAATGCTCATCTTCGATAGCCACTGGCACGCTGGAGAAGTGTGCTCTACGCAGATGAATCCCGGTTTCAACTGTACCGGGCAGATGGCAGACAGCTTTTATGGCGTAGTGTTGGCGAGCGGTTTGCTGATGTCAACGTTGTGAACAGAGTGCCCCATGGTGGCGGTGGGGTTATGGTATGGGAAGGCATAAGCTACAGACAACGAACACAATTGCATTTTATCGATGGCAATTTGAATGCACAGAGATATCGTGATAAGATCCTGAAGCCCATTGTCGTGCCATTCATCCGCTGCCATCGCCTCATGTTTCAGCATGATAATGCACGGCCCCATGTCGCAAGGATCTGTACACAATTCCTGGAAGCTGAAAATGTCCCAGTTCTTCCATGGCCTGCATACTCACCAGACACGTCACCCATTGAGCATGTTTGGGATGATCTGGATCGATGTGTACGACAGCGTGTTCCAGTTCCCACCAATATCCAGCAACTTCGCACAGCCATTGAAGAGGAGTGGGACAAAATTCCACAGGCCACAATGAACAGCTTGATCATCTCTATGCGAAGGAGATGTGTCGTGCTGCATGAGGCAAATGGTGGTTACACCAGATACTTACTGGTTTTCTGATACACGCCCCTAACTTTTTTTTTAGGTATCTGTGACCAACAGATGCATACAGTGCATTCGGAAAGTATTCAGACCCCTTCCCCTTTTCCACATTTTGTTACAGCCTTATTCTAAAATTGATTAAATAAATAAAAATCCTGATCAATCTACACAAAATACCCCATAATGACAAAGTGAAAACAGGTTTTTAGAAATGTTTGCAAATTTATAAAAAAATCAAAAACGAAATACCTTATTTACATAAGTATTCAGACCCTTTGCTATGAGACTTGAAATTGAGCTCAGGTGCATCCTGTTTCCATTGATCATCTTTGAGATGTTTCTACAACTTCATTGGAGTCCATCTGTGTCACGACTTCCTCCGAAGCTGCCTCCCCTCCTTGTTCGGGCAGGCTTCGGAATTCGTCGTCACCGGCCTTCTAGCCACTGCCGCTCCATATCTCATCATTCCATTTGTCTTGTTTTGTCAATTACACACACCTGGTTCATATTCCCCTCATTAGTACGTGTTTAAGTGTTCCCTCTGCCCCCTTGTCCTTGTGGGTGATTGTTCATTGTGAGGATCAGTAGCTCGGTGGAGCTCAGTATTTTGTATTGCCGGGGTATTTTCCCCGTGTGCATGTTTGTTCCAGTGCGCCTGTTTTGCGCACTGGACTGGTTACGCTGGATTACGGAATAAACTCTGTATACTGTGATTTACCCTCCTGCGCCTGACTCCTTCAAATCACGCATCACAATCTGTGGTAAATTCAATCGATTGGACATGATTTGGAAAGGCCTGTCTATATTAGGTCCAACAGTTGACAGTGCATGTCAGAGCAAAAACCAAGCCATTGAAGGAATTGTCCGTAGAGCTCCGAGACAGTATTGTGTCGAGGCACAGATCTGGGGAAAGATACCAAAAGATTTCTGCAGCATTGAAGGTCCCCAAGAACACAGTGGCCTCCATCATTCTTAAATGGAAGAAGTTTGGAACCACCAAGACTCTTCCTAGAGCTGGCCGCCCGGCCAAACTGAGCAATCGGGGGAGAAGGGCCTTGGTCAGAGAGGTGACCAAGAACCCGATGGTCACTCTGACAGAGCTCCAGAGTTCCTCTGTGGAGATGGGAGAACCTTCCAGAAGGACAACCATCTCTGCAGCACTCCACCAATCAGGCGGAAGCCCCTCCTCAGTAAAAGGCACATGGCAGCACACTGGTCTGATGAAACCAAGATTGAACTCTTCTGCCTAAATGCCAAGCTTCACATCTGGAGCAAACCTGGCATCATCCCTACGGTGAACATGGTGGTGGCAGCATCATGCTGTGGGGATGTTTTTCAGTGGCAGGGACTGGGAGACTAGTCAGGATCGAGGGAAAGATGAATGGAGAAAAGCACAGATAGTTCCTTGATGAAAACCTGCTCCAGAGCATTTCGGTCCTCAGATTGGGGCAAAGGTTCACCTTCAAACAGGACAACAACCCTAAGCATACAGCCATGACAACGCAGGAGTGGCTTCAGGACAAGTCTACGAATGTCCTTGAGTGGCCCAGCCTGAGCCCGGACTTGAACCCGATCGAACATCTCTGGAGAGACCTGAAAATAGCTGTGCAGCGAATCTCCCCATCCAACCTGACAAAGCTTGAGAGGATCTGCAGAGAAGAATGGGAGAAACTCCCCAAATACAGGTGTGCCAAGCATGTAGCGTCATACCAAAGAAGACTTGAGGCTGCCAAAGGTGCTTCAACAAAGTACTGAGTAAAGGGTCTGAATACTTATGTAAATGTGATATTTTTATTTTTTTATTTTTAATACATTTGCAAAAAAAACTGTTTTTGCTTTGTCATCATGGGGTATTGAGTGTAGATTGATGAGGGGAAAAAACGATTTAATCAATTTATAATAAGGCTGTAACGTGACAAAATGTGAAAAAAAATCAAGGGGTCTGAATACTTTCCGAATGCACTGTATCTGCATTCCCAGTCATGTGAAATCCATAGATTAGGGCCTAATGAAATCATTTCAATTGACCGATTTCCTTACATTAACTGTAACTCAGTAAAATCTTTGAAATTGTTGCATGTTGGGTTGATATTTTTATTCAGTGTATGAAATACCTGTACTGCATATTATTTATATTCAACTCAATATATTCTGAGCCCAAATACTACTTCCAGAAAAAATAAAGAAAAGAAAGTAATGAAATGGACTGAAGGTAACACTTTTATGGTAACAATGCAAACCTGATGAGTAAAGCTGAAAGTGTGCAAAGCTGTCATGAAGGCAAAGGGTGGCTATTTGAAGAATCTCAAATATAAAATATATTTTGATTTGTTTAACACTTTTTTTGGTTACTACATGATTCCATATGTGTTATTTCATAGTTTTGATGTCTTCACTATTATTCTACAATGTAGAAAATAGTACAAATAAAGAAAAATCCTTGAAAGAGTAGGTGTTCTAAAACTTTTGACCGGTAGTGTACAGTGTACATGTAATATATTGATGTGTATGATAATAATGAATCCGAATGTTCTTAAATGATTTTAACTGCTTTAGATCTAGAGGAATAGCGTTGGTGACTATTGTCGCTACCGTCAGCTATAAATTGTCCAAGTAGTTCAGCATTGCTCTTGCCCTTGAGGAAAGACAGTACGCATTAGAGAAAATCACACCACTTTTTATTAATTATGCTTAGCGAATGAGATTATCCATAGCTGTCAGGCTTCACACATTGGATGGGAAGCGGGTGCTTTTCACTTTCCTTGCCATGCCTAATTTCATTATTCTATTAAACATGCTTCATTAACAATGACGGAATTAACCAATTTGCCTGTGGAGTTTTAAAAGAATCACACTGGAATATGATGATGTGATATCAGATTTTATCCTTAGCATGTAATGTACATAATGTGATTCTCCATGTCTAATAGGCTTGGGTTTGGGGTAGCTGTGATCGTGTGATATTAAATTATAAAAAGTGTCAACAGTGCACTACAATAAGACCAAATAGTGTCATTTCATTAGGTTGAGAAGGCAATGAATGGGAGAGAGAAAGTATGTCAACTCAGCCTAATAGCTAACTATAACTAGAGGACTGACTGACTGTAATAGGGGATCCTGTCTCCAGAGATATCTGAGGTAGTGGTATTTGACAGGTGGAGGAAAGCTGCAAATATCAACTGATATGTCTCTACTTCAAGATGGTGAGGGACGTTATTTACCTTCCAGAATACAGTGTCTTTAGAGGTATTGTATTACGCAGAAGGGAAATGTTTCATTTGAAATATGTCTGTATTTGCCTTGCATTCACTATACTGTATTTAGTGAATTAAGTATTGTATACTGTATTTAACAGCATTAAGCTTAAACTCTTACAGAAAGCTTATACAGTTCAGTCCTCGTTTCCTGTGAGGGTATAGTCAGATTAACCTGAATTAAAGCTAAAGGCACATTCAAATCAACATCTTGATAATGCACATGTAATCCACCCAGAATGGGGATGAACTAAATGCCTAGGCAACTGTCGGCTTGTAATATTCCTGCTTGTGTCAAGTCTCCATGCTAACCCTGACATATACTAGTGTTCTATCTAGCATCTTTGCCTTTTAAACTGACAAACTGAGTAAGCATTATCTTCTATCAAGTCACTCAATACTTATGGAGTTCAGAGAGAGAGAGAGATATTAAAACTAGCTAAACATCTGCGGAGGGGTGGTAGGGTTAGGGGAAAATATATATTTTTTAATATATGGGGGATTGGAAATTATGCAGACAATTATATTGTTAGAACCCACAATCTATCTGCAATATTAAAGCTGATCTACCCCCTATAAAATATAATAATAATCAAATTTTAAAAAGCAGCTGCGTGACAAAATACAGTTATTTGTTTTTGTTTCCAGACTAAATTACACCATTAGCTGGAAGAATGCGGGTGAGGAAAGAGCAGGAAAGCGCTTCCCCTGCTGCATCCAGTTTAAAAGCCTTATAATTACATCATTACATATACAGTACAACACATTTTCTCTTTAAGTGGTTTTGGTTCCCATCTCATTCTTTCGGCATTTTATATACTCAAATACCCAAGGAAACTGCAAAGTGTAAGGTCACAGTAAAGTACAGTACCTTCAGAAGGTATTCACACCCCTTGACTTTTTCCACATTTTGTTGGACCAAAAAAGCAGTATTTTAAAGCATATTACACAGTGCTGCACCAGTAATGTGTTAAACGCCACGGTAGGACTACAGGGAATCTCCTGAGGATAGGACCCTGGATGAATAATGGACAATAGTAAAAAAAGGTATTTTATAAAAATCTATTTCTGCTTCAAAATAAAATATGTATGTTTTATTGTCACATACACGGATAGGTTCAGTTAAATGTGTTGTTTTACAGGGTCAGCCATAGTAATACGGTGCCCCTGGAGCAAAGTAGGGTTAAGTGCCTTGCTCAAAGGCACATCAACTGATTTTTCACCAGCGACCTTTCATTTATTGGCCCAACGGTCTAACCGCTAAGCTACCTGCCGCCTTAAGGAAAACCCTCTGTAGTACTGGTGACTGTAATCGTTTATGATTGCATCACTGTCTTATGTTATGCACAGTAGGCTACTACCCACACTATGAAAGCACCTTCCTATCACTACCTATTTCAGTGTATACACAGTTCATTGCCAGTTTGACAAAGTGTAGAAGTACAGACAAATATGTACACAGGGTGTTTTATCCCTTTTCTGTCTCACTTCTTACAAAGCAATACAAATAATCGCAGCAGTTGTTTTCTTGAATCTGTAGACATCTATACCTACTGGTTGTCTTAAAATATCAATGTGGGAAGCCGAAAGATTCTCATTCAGTTCAGGCACATAGGAAAGCCCTGCACCCTGTTGCCTATTTAGTGCAGTACTTTATGGGCCCTGGTCAAAAGTAGTACCCTATAATAGGAATATGGTGCCATTTGGGACGCACACATTTTGTGGCTGAGTGATTAGTTTACTTATCTCTGCCAGTCCCTGGTTGCCAGTTCTGCTGGGGAGATAAGGATACCTCCTGGACCTCTTTTTCAGAGGTTGAGCAAGTACTGTACCTCATTTCATCTCATAGTGGACACTCCACCTTTTGGCTAAATGCATTGTTTGAGCTAACAGTCTGACCAGAATAAATCCACTGAGCTTTTCCAAAAAGATTTCCAGGAAATCATTGGACTACTTTCTCATTATATGAAAAATGTATGCTGTCGTAAAGTGATCAATATCAGTGAAAAACATATCTGTCATCAAAAGTTAATTTATATGTTTTGATATGTCACTGGTCTCTTCAAAACTGGTACCAGTCATGACATCAAAGACATACAGTGCATTCGGAAAGTATTCAGACCCCTTGACTTTTTCCACATTTTGTTAGGTTACAGCCTTATTCTAAAATGGATTAAATTGTTTCCCCCCACTCATCAATATACACAATATCCTATAATGACAAAGCAAAAATAGGTTTTTAGAAAATGCTACAAGCTTGGTACACCTGTATTTGGTGAGTTTCTCCCATTCTTCTCTGCAGATCCTCTCAAGCTCTGTCAGGTTGGATGGGGAGCGTCGCTGCATCGATCGGGTTCAAGTCCGGGCCCTGGCTGGGCCACTCAAGGACATTCAGAGACTTGTCCCGAAGCCACTCCTGCATTGTCTTGGCTGTGTGCTTAGGGTCATTGTCCTGTTGGAAGGTGAACATTCGCCCCTGTCTGAGGTCCTGAGTGCTCTGGAGCAGGTTTTCATCAGGGATCTCTCTGTACTTTGCTCCGTTCATCTTTCCCTCTATCCTGACTAGTATCCCAGTCCTTGCTGCTGAAAAATATCCCCACAGCATGATGCTGCCACGATGCTTCACTGTAGGGATGGTGTCAGGTTTCCTCCAGATGTGACGCTTGGCATTCAGGCCAAATAGTTAAATCTTGGTTTCATCAGACCAGAGAATCTTGAGTCCTTTAGGTGCCTTTTGACAAACTCCAAGCGGGCTGTCATGTGCCTTTTACTGAGGAGTGGGTTCCGTCTAGCCATTCTACCATAAAGGCCTGATTGGTGGAGTGCTGCAGAGATGGTTGTCCTTCTGGAAGGTTCTCCCATCTCCACAGAGGAACTCTGGAGCTCTGTCAGAGTGACCATCGGGTTCTTGGTCACCTCTCTGACCAAGGCCCTTCTCCCCCGATTGCTCAGTTTGGCCGGGCGGCCAGCTCTAGGAAGAGTCTTGGTGGTTCCAAACTTCTTCCATTTAAGAATGATGGAGGCCACTGTGTTCTTGGGGACCTTCAATGCTGCAGAAATGTTTTGGTACCCTTCCCCAGATCTGTGCCTCGACACAATCCTGTCTCGGTGCTCTACGGACAATTCCTTCGACCTCATGGCTTGGTTTTTGCTCTGACATGCACTGTCAACTGTGGGACCTTATGTAGACAGGTGTGTACCTTTCCAAATCATGTCCAATCAATTTAATTTACCACAGATGGACTTCAATCAAGTTGTAGAAACATCTCAAGGATGATCAATGGAAACAGAATGCACCTGAGCTCAATTTCGAATATCATAGCAAAGGGTCTGAATACTTATGTAAATAAGGTATTTCTGTTTTTCATTTTTAATAAATTAGTAAACATTTCTAAAAATCTGTTTTTGCTTTGTCATTATGGGGTGTTTGTAGATTGATGAGGAAATATTTGTATTTAATCAATTTTAGAATAAGGCTGTAACGTAACAAAATGTGTAAAAAGTCAAGGGCTCTGAATACTTTCCAAATGCACTGTACATACATTTATTTTGCACAAACATCAAGACCACAAACATTTCTCCAGTTAAAAATGTGCATATTTGCATTGTTATCATCTTTACAAAATGAGTTTGCTGAGGCAAACATGGTTTCAATATATATACATTCAATTTCCACAATTCAATCCATTTAGTGGATCAAATAAGCATCTCACATTTAATGGCGACAAATTGGTCATAATTTCTCCTCAGTAGAATCCGCCAGCTCAGCAGGGCCAGGTTGGAGTCTGGCTGGGGGAAAGGGAAATGAGGCGGGAAATAAACCATTATGCATCCCAAATGGTACCCTATTCCCTATACAGTGCACTACCTTTGATCAGGGCACATAGGGGATGAAGAGGGGATGGTGGACAAAAGGGCCTGCTGGGTGAAAATATAAAAAATGAAAAAAGTCAGTCACTACTTACTTACTTACTTACTTACTTACTTTATTGTCCCCATGGGGAAATTCTGTTGCAGTGTCATGCACACATCCAAAGCGGCGTTAAACACAAAACAAGATTGACAATACAACTCTCAACAACAGTCACGCACCAACAAAAATAAGAAACAAGAAACAAAACATCCAAAACATCCAAAACAAAGACTAGCCTGCTGGCCTTACGGGGTCAATGGGAACATTTGCCCGAGCTATTTAAGAGGGATATCACACCTGGCACAAATGATTGTCTCGTTCTATTTTTCCTACTGAGGGGTGCCCTATACCTACGCCCAGAGGGGAGTAATTCAAAGTCCAGGTACAGGGGGTGACTTGGGTCTAAAATGATTTTGTGAGCCTTACGGAGGGCCCTGACCTTAAAGATCTCATCCAGGCCTGTCTGTTTGACTCCAAGTACCTTACTTGCTGTGGTAATAATCCTTCTCAGCATGTTTCTCTGACTGACAGTGGCATTGCCAAACCAACAAACAATACAAAAAGTTAAAATACTCTCAATAAAGGATTTGTAAAACAGAGTCAATATAGTACAGTCTATATTAAAAGAACCCAACTTTTTTAGAAAATACAGTCTCTGTTGGCTCTTTTTGTAGATCTGGTCTGTACATTTACTCCACTGAAGCTTACTGTCCAAAAAGACACCCAGATATTTATATTCCTCTACAATTTCTATATTCTGGCCTCTGATAGATGTTGCAGAGGTAGGTGTTGTACGCTTCCTGAAGTCTATGCACATCTCTTTGGTCTTGTTAGTATTGAGGACCAAGTGTGATTCCTCACACCACTCTACAAAGTCATCTAGGACCGGGCCATGATGTTCCTCGTCATCATGCAACAGGCTGATCAAGGCAGTGTCATCAGCGAACTTAACGAGGTGTCTGTCAGTATGGGAACTAGTACAACTATTAGTGTACAAGATGTACAGAAGTGGGGACAAAACACATCCCTGAGGAGAGCCTGTGTTGGTATTGCGTATATCCGACACATGGGGACCTATTTTGACTCGCTGTGAGCGTTGGCTCAGGAAGTCCAACAGCCACAAAACCAGCCCCCCATCTAAGGAAAAGTCCCGAATGAGTCTCTGTGCCAGAATGTAAGGCTGGATTGTGTTGAAGGCAGAAGAAAAGTCAACAAACAGAACCCTGACATGGGATTTGGCACCTTCTAGATGTCTATAGACCATGTTAAGGAGGGTAAGAATGGCATCATCAACTCCTCTGCTGGTCTGATAGGCAAACTGAAATGGGTCGAGGAGCTTCTGGGTGACACTGAGAATATGACTTTTCACAATTTTCTCAAGGCATTTCATAACTAAGGATGTCAAAGCGACAGGGCGATAGTCATTCAGCACAGAGGGATTTGATACTTTAGGAATTGGTATAATTATTGATTTACTACTAACACCACCAGTGTATTCTGTTTACCAAGGAGGAAATATCCACAGTGTTGCAAAGCTGGTGTTAGGCTTTCCATTTTGAGCTGTGTACTTCCCAAAAAATAGCACTGGCAATAGGGCTATAGGTCCAAAATATTTTTGCTATACATACATTATACATGGGAGCAGAGCTTGGCCCTCACTGTCCAATCAATGCGTTTCATGGCTTAATTCTGCATGCAGTTATCTTAAGTTCCGTAGTCTATTGACGGTCTTTGCATTGTCATCTCCAATTCAGCTGGGGGCACAATTCTCTTCCTAGTCCATTGTGGATAGATACAGTTTATTAAATAGCGTAGGCTACAGTAATGAGTAATAGCAGCAGTAAAAAAAAAATGTGTTGAAGTCAACATAGCTTCAATGAGTATAGGCCCATTTAAGCATCGCACTTCTCCTCAAATAAAAAAACTAGGCTCTTGTAAATGGTGTTGTATGTGTGAAGCACATATCGTTATATGGCGTTATAGGACTGAATAATTTGAATATGTTTGGATGTGCGCGATACAAGCTGAATGGAGTAACCTATGCTCTGCAGGTAGGCCTATGTGAATTCTGAATAATGCAAAAGCATGAGCGAGTAGACCATTTAGAAACCTTTAATGGATAGGCTATTTGGCTAATGCATGGTCAGGATAAGAAAGACAAAACAGACGCATTGCTGTTGAACCATCTTTAGTTATAGTAGGGTAGCGTATAAGGGCTTGTTTTTTAATCAAACTAAACGAAAAAAAATAAAGCAATTGTTAAAGGGAAATAATTTAAATATTTCTAAATACGAGTGTCACTGGATCGTCTCATCTCTTATTCCATGACGGGCATTTTATGCACATCCAAAACAATAACAGGAGCTGGCTAAAATAATGTACAATAGCCTACATAGATAAAAAGGGGATGCTCCCAAACTTAATCTTCTAATAAATCTTTGGTGATTTTGATTTACTTCAAAGCGGTCTCACAAGCCAACCCCTTTATAATAGTCGTGACTACTTGGTGAATGCATTGGGCAGGACAAAAAAAACGGCCTTAATTAAGAGGGGAGTATGATTGGTTTTTATTAAAATGAAACAAAATGGGGGGAAAACATTACGGGCACAAAAAGCACATCTCTCTTGTTCCATGTGCATATGGGCACTGTGTATCAGGGCTGTATAGGCTGTCAAAATCCATTCTATAACCAACCTCGTTACCACTAAGACCAGCTTTTGGTTGGTCTTAAATATTTTAAAGGAAGAACACACCTCAGATATTGCCACCCCTTCCACCTCAGCGCAAGCAAGCTCATTTAAGACAGGTAAATTACAAATCCTGGCGCTAGGGTTTGAAAATAGGAGCACGCCGGCTTTAACACGCTTTAAAAGGTCGAACTTGCAAACGAGCCTGGTGACCCTGACCAAACTTCAAAACAACTTGGACCAATTTTGAAAGTTTTTCTCAATCCAGTTGGTCTTTTCCCATTGTAGTGAGGGTTTGAGATTTTTGTCTCTATCGAACCAGAGAGAGGTGATGGAACAATCATCTGACAACCTCCTTTCATTTACCTGTGAACCGCCTCTCTGAGGAAACCAGCACACTCATGTAACACGAATGAAACTATGAAACTGACACAATTGGCTAGGCTCCTGTCTGCCAAAAGTCTCCACTGAGAGAGTGACATCAAATGAAGATAGCAGGGGGAAAGCAGCCTGTCATGGTTAGGAGCCAAAGGGAGGTCTGTGGGCTTCCTTTGATGCCACTTTTCCCAAACTCATTTTATAACTAATACATAATAAACTACAAACTATTCATGTAGTTGTGATGTTTGGAGTTCACAAGCAGGTTGTTCCCATCAGCAGTGGTCAGATAAACAGGAAGTGAACTTCATAATATTATTCTCAGAGAGAGGAGGAGCCATATTACCACACACATCAACATAGGACTCTATTAAATCAGTTTGAACAGGTTGTTATGTACCAGACATTACACAATGAACATAATGAACCTTGAAAACCTCAGAGACATTTTTTTATTTCCAGTTTAGTGGGTACTTAAGAGAAAAATCAGGGGCCGTATGCAATAAGTATCTCAGAGTAGGAGTGCTGCTCTAGGATCAGGTACCTCACTGTCCATGAAATCTTATTAATTGTGATTTAAAAGGCTAAACTGATCCCAAATCAGCAGTCCTACTCTGAGACACTTGATACATAAGGCCCTTGTCACGGATTCTGCAGAGGCTGCAGTTTTCAACGACAGGAGAGTGTCATCCAGGCGCTCGGCACCGCCATGGAGAGGGTGATGAACACGATGGATCGTTGGGAGAGAGGTGGCCTTCCCACACCTCCTCCAACCACTCTACCACCCATACCACAGTCCACCTCTTCTCCACCTGGGCCCAGTGGGATTCGGCTCTCGCTACCGAGGGCATATGACGGTACATCAGCCGGGTGTCAGGGTTTCCTGCTCCAGGTAGAGCTCTATCTGGCAACCATCCACCCGGCACCCTCGGGATACGAGAGCGTGTCCGCCCTCATCTCCTGTCTGTCGGGGAAGGCGCTCGAGTGGGCCAACACCGAGTGGGGAGGAATTGACGCTGCATCGGTCCGCTACGAGGAGTTCACCCGCCGCTTCCGGGCGGTATTCGATCATCCACCAGAGGGGAGAGCGGCAGGCGAGCGTCTGTTCCACCTACGACAGGAGAGGGGGAGCGCCCAGGATTTTGCGCTGGAGTTCAGGACATTGGCAGCCAGCGTGGGATGGAATGAGAGGGCCCTGATCGACCACTATCAGTGCAGCCTAAGGGAGGACATTCGGCGGGAACTGGCCTGCAGGGATACCAATCTCAATCTGGACCAACTGGTGGAGATGTCCATCAGGCTGGATAACCTGTTGGAGACCCGCAGAGGTTCTGATCAGGGCTCATTCATTCCATCCCCCAGCACCTCCGACTCTACCCCCATGGAGCTCGGAGGTGCTGCACTTAGGGAGACCAGGAGAGGGGCCGTCCCCTGCACCAACTGTGGCCGCAGAGGACACACTGAGGTCGGTGCTGGGGAGGGTCCCTAGGGAGTCGAGGCAGTAAGCAGAGCACTGGTCGATCATCTCAGGTGAGTAGGCACCCGATTCACCCAGAGCTCCCTGTTGGTCAGTTGTTTATAGAGGTTGTGTTTCCGGAGTTTTCTCCTCATTCCCAGCATAAGGCGCTAGTAGATTCATGCGCAGCTGGGAATTTTATTGATAGTCAATATTCTCTGTTTGTGTTGATGTGCCTTTTCCTGTCCACGCATTAGATAGTCGCCCGCTAGGATCAGGTCTAATCAGGGAGGTTACCGCACCACTCTCTATGAGAACGCAGGGGGGTCATGAGGAGAGGATTAGTCTCTATCTGATTGATTCTCCTGCGTATCCTGTGGTGTTGGGACTTCCCTGGTTAACCACTCATGATCCCACTATGTCCTGAAAACAGAGGGCTCTCAAGGGATGGTCCAGTCAGTGCTCGGGGAGGTGTGTAGGGGTTTCTTGGGGGCTACTACGGTGGAGAGTCCAAACCAGGTCTCCACAGTGCACATTCCTTCTGAGTATGCCGATTTGGCTCTCGCCTTCAGTAAGAAGAGGGCGACTAAATTACCACCCCATCGTCCAGGGGATTGTGCGATAAATCTCCAGGTAGGCGCTGCACTTCCCCGGAGTCACGTGTATCCTCTGTCACAGGCGGAGAAGGCGGCTATGGAAACATATGTCTCCGAATCGCTGAGACAGGGTAAGCATTTCACTGTAATGTCTGCACCTGTTGTATTCGGAGCATGTGGCCAATAAAATTTGATTTGATTTGATTTGATATTCGGCCTTCCACTTCACCTGTTTCCTTGAGTTTCTTTTTCGTTGAAGAAGAAGGATGGTGGGTTACGCCCGAGCATTGATTACCGTGGGCTTAATCAGATCACTGTCAAGTACAGCTATCCCTTACCTCTGATAGCATGTATGACGGAATCAATGCACGGGGCGCGCTTCTTCACGAAATTGGATCTCAGGTGCGCGTACAATCTGGTGCGTATTCGGGAGGGAGATGAGTGGAAGACGGCTTTCAGCACTACCTCAGGACACTATGAGTACCTCGTCATGCCATATGGGTTGATGAATGCTCCATCAGTCTTCCAAGCCTTCGTCGATGAGTTTTTCAGGAATCTGCACGGACAGGGTGTAGTGGTGTATATTGATGACATCCTCATATACTCCGCTACACGGGCCGAGCATGTGTCCCTGGTGCGTAAGGTACTTGGATGACTGTTGAAGCATGACCTATATGCCAAGGCAGAGAAATGCCTGTTCTTTCAGGAGTCCACCTCCTTCCTAGGGTACCACATGTCCGCGTGGGGTGAAAATGGAGAGTGACCACATTTCGGCCGTGCGTAATTGGCCGACTCCAACCACGGTGAAGGAGGTGCAGCAATTTTTGGGATTTGCCAATTACTACCGGAGGTTTATCCGGGGCTTTGGTCAGGTAGCGGCTCCCATTACCTCATTGCTGAAGGGGGGACTGGTGTGTTTGCGGTGGTCAGCTGAGGCGGACAGGGCTTTCAATCGTCTGAAGAGCCTGTTTACCTCGGCTCTATTGCTGGCTCATCCGGATCCCTCCTTGGCTTTCACGGTTGAGGTGGACGCGTCGGAGGCTGGGATAGGTGCTGTACTTTCCCAGCGCTCGGGCACACCACCCAAGCTCCGCCCCTGTGCGTTCTTTTCTAAGAAGCTCAGTCCGGCGGAGCGCAACTATGATGTGGGGGACCAAGAGCTGTTGGCCGTGGTCCAAGCCCTGAAAACGTGGAGACATTGGCTTGAGGGGGCTAACCACCCTTTTCTCATTTTGACTGACCACCGCAATCTGGAGTACATCCAGGTGGTGAAGAGATTAAACGCTCGCCAGGCAAGGTGGTCAATGTTTCTCACTTGTTTTTGTTTCACCCTTTCGTACAGGCCAGGTTCCCAGAATGCTAAGGCAGATGCTCTGACCCGACTGTATGACACGGAGGGGAGTTCCGTGGAGCCCACTCCCATTCTTCCGGCGTCGTGTCTGGTGGCACCGGTGGTGTGGGAGGTTGCGTAACGAACCCACTCCTCCCCAGTGTCCAGAGGGACGTGTGTACGTTCCGCTGGCGGTCCGCGATCGGTTGATCTATTGGGCTCACACGTCACCCTCCTCTGGTCATCCTGGTATCGGTCGGACAGTGCATTGTCTTAGTGGGAAGTACTGGTGGCCCACCTTAGCTAAGGACGTGAGGGTTTATGTTTCTTCCTGCTCGGTGTGCGCCCAGTGTAAGGCTCCTAGACACCTGCCCAGAGGGAAATTGCAACCCCTACCCGTTTCACAACGACCGTGGTCCCACCTATCGGTGGATTTTGTGACGGATCTTCCTCCCTCACAAGGGAATAACACGATCCTGGTCGTTGTGGAACGGTTTTCTAAGTCCTGCTGCCTCATTCCTCTGCCCGGTCTCCCTACGGCCCTACAGACTGCTGAGGCCCTATTTACACACGTCTTCCGGCACTATGGGATACCTGAGGATATAGTGTCTGATTGGGGTTCCCAGTTCACCTCGAGGGTTTGGAGGGCGTTCATGGAACGTCTGGGAGTCTCGGTCAGCCTTACCTCAGGGTCTCACCCCGAAGTAACGGGCAGGTGGAGAGAGTCAACCAGGAGGTGGGTAGTTTTCTGTGGTTGTATTGCCAGGACCGGCGGGGGGAGTGGTCGGCGTTCCTCCCCTGGGCAGAGATAGCCCAAAACCCACTCCGCCACTCCTCCACTAACCTTACTCCCTTCCAGTGTGTATTAGGTTATCAGCCGGTTCTGGCACCATGGCATCAGAGCCAGATCGAGGCACCTGCGGTGGATGAATGGTTTCGGCGCTCGCAGGAGACCTGGAACGCTGCCCATGTGCGCCTGCAGCGGGCCATCGGGCAGCAGAAGGTGAGTGCCGACCGCCACCGCAGTGAGGCTCCGGTGTATGCACCGGGGGACCGGGTCTGGCTCTCGACCCGAAATCTGCCCCTTCACTTGCCCTTCCGGAAACTGTCACGGATTCTGCCGAGGCTGCCCCTCCTCCTTGCTCAGGCAGGCTGCGGCGTTCGTCGTCACTGGAATACTAGCTACTGCCGATCTATGTTATATATGTCACACACCTGTTTCCCATTTGTTTAATCACGCCTACCCTATTTAACCCAGTGGCTCCCAATGTGTCTTGTGCGTGGTTGTTTTTCATTTCGTGTGTCGTTTGGTGAGCGGGTTAGTTCCTTCCTGCATGAAGGTATTGCTGTGTTGTTTTCTTTACTCAAGTTCAGTAAAGTACGTTTCCTCGAGTTCTGTGTCCTGCGCCTGATTTTGATCCACCGCATTACACTGACACTCGTTACAGCCCTGGATCTTCTTAAAAACAGCCCACCCATCTAATCTGCAGTCATAACTTTGAACTATAGATGACGATATCTCATTAACTCCACTCAACCAAAGGCTCAGAGCCAGTCAAGCAGTGAGATGTCTGATATCTGAGCACACCTTCATCACGACAGGCAGATCACACGCATCCTGTTCCACTGTGGAGGAAAGTGCAAGCCTTCCACTTGACTCCCTTTAGCTTGATAGCCCTTAGCAGAGACATCAAATCAAATTAATCATACAGTACATCAAATCAAACAAACACAGACAAAAGCTGTTCAAAAACTAAACCCACAGCTGACAATAAACACTTGGAACTGAATTATGAAAATATTTCCTAAAACATATGGTGATGTGAAATAAATTGCGATTGAGGATAATAACAATGGCATAGTGTGGCACAAATCTGTGGCTCTCCGATGATACAACAGCTGTGAAAATGTCCCCATTTCAACTAGTAACACCACTGACTGCTTGTCTGCCTCTTCATCAAACCAAATACTATATTTCCTCTAATCTATGTTGCCTTGTGGCTGCATTTCAGTGGAATCAATGAAAAAGGCTTTAATGGACCTTTTTTTTTTTGCAAAACAATAGCACTCTCTCAAATGATCTACTCACTGAACATATTGAAGATATTGTTATGGGTTTCTTTACTACAGTTTATGGTTCATGAATACTATAACATCAAATACAATAAGAGTAATAGTCTGTTTCAGTTATCGTCTCTTGACAGTGTTACTGTGCAGTGGACTGTAATAATTTCTGCTGTATTATATTGGTGTCAATATGGACTTAAAGTTGACCGGTTTCCCTGATGCATTAAATTAGATTAAAACATTCCTTCATGCTGATTCATAGACAGATCAGACAGTATGTCTGTCTGGCCATCAGTCTTTTAAAGAATGCTGTTATGTCTGGTTTCACTGCAACTTAATTACCAACAAAGCTAAATGCAGACCTGACATTTTTACATTAGTCATGGTATAAGTGTTCCCTCTGTTTCCTTGTCTGTGTGGGTGATTATTTATTGTGGAGGTTTGTGAAGCTCGGTGGAGCTCGTGTATTGTGTATCGACAGGAGTATTTTCCAGTGCGCCTGTTTTATGCCCTGGAGTGTGTTTGACGCATTTCTGCGTAAACCTTTATTTTGCGTATTAAAGCCTGCGCCTGACTTCTTCAACACCACCTCATCACAGAATCACCCACCCCTTGACGCGCGGCTCCAGCAGCGCGCCAACCCCGGCCTCGGGGACGGCCAGGAGGACGCGGAGCAGGGCGAGCCAGATGGCGACGGTGGGAATCCCGTAACATGGAGGGATCGAGGATATCCCTCACCGGAACCCAGCACCGTTCCGCCGGACCGTACCCCTCCCACTCCACGAGGTACTGAAGGCCCCCACCCGACGCCTCGAATCCAGGATGGAACGGGCAGAGTACGCCGGGGCCCCCTCGATGCCCAGAGTAAGGCACCTATGCACCTCCCAGCTGGTAAGTTACAACCTTTACCAGTTCTACAACGACCATGGTCTCACCTAAGTGTTGATTTTCTAACTGATCTTCCCCTCTCTCAAGGTAACACCACCATCCTGGTCGTTGTGGACCGCTTTTCTAAAGCCTGCCGCCTCCTTCCTCTGCCCGGTCTCCCCACGGCTCTGCAAACTGCAGAGGCCCTGTTTACACACGTCTTCCGGCACTACGGGGTACCAGAGGATATAGTGTCTGACCGAGGTCCCCAATTCACGTCCAAGGTCTGGAAGGTGTTCATGGAACGTCTGGGGGTCTCGGTCAGCCTGACCTCTGGGTTCCACCCCGAGAGTAATGGGCAGGTGGAACGGGTAAATCAGGACGTGGGTAGGTTCCTGCGGTCCTACTGCCAGGACCGGCCGGGGGAGTGGTCGGTGTTCTTGCCATGGGCAGAATATGCCCAGAACTCTCTCCGCCACTCCTCCACTAACCTAACGCCTTTCCAGTGTATTCTAGGTTACCAACCAGTTCTGGCACTGTGGCACCAGAGCCAGACCGAGGCTCCTGCGGTGGATGACTGGTTTCGGTGCGCAGAGGAGACGTGGGATGCTGCCCACGTTCACCTCCAATGCGCCGTGTGTCGTCAGAAGGCCAACGCTGACCGCCACCACAGTGAGGCCCCCGTCTTTGTACCGGGGGATTGGGTCTGGCTCTCGACCCGGAATCTGCCCCTCCGCTTGCCCTGCCGGAAGCTGAGCCCGTGGTTTGTGGGGCCGTTCAGTCCTGAGGAGAGTCAACGAGGTCACTTATAGGTTATTACTTCCCCCTGTTTACCGTATTAACCCCTCGTTTCATGTGTCTCTCCTCAGGCCGGTGGTAGCTGGTCCGCTCCAGGAGGCTGAGGTGCGGGAGGTCCCTCCACCTCCTCTGGACATCGAGGGGGCCCCGGCTTACTCTGTCCACTCCATCCTGGATTCGAGGCATCGGGTGGGGGGCCTTCAGTACCTCGTGGAGTGGGAGGGGTACGGTCTGGAGGAACGGTGCTGGGTTCCGGTGAGGGATATCCTCGATCCCTCCATGTTATGGGATTTCCACCGTCGCCATCCGGCTCGCCCTGCTCCGCGTCCTCCAGGCCGTCCCCGAGGCGGGGGGGGGGGGGGGGGGGGGGGTACTGTCACGACTTCCACCGAGGCTGCCTCCCCTCCTTGTTCGGGCAGGTTTCGGCGTTCGGCGTCACCGGCTTACTAGCTACTGCCGATCCATTTATCATCACTCCATTTGTCTTATCTTCAATCACACACACCTGGTCCTTATTCCCTCATTAGTCAAGGTATAAGTGTTCCCTCTGTTTCCTTGTCTGTGTGGGTGATTGTTTATTGTGGAGGTTTGAGAAGCTCGGTGGAACTTGTGTATTGTGTATCGACGGGAGTATTTTCCTGTGTGCCTTGTATTTTCCAGTGCGCCTGTTTTGTGCCTTGGAGTGTGTTTGACGCATTTCTGCGTAAACCTGTATTTTGCGTATTAAAGCCTGTTATTCTGTGATTTACCCTCCTGTGCCTGACTTCTTCAACACCACCTCATCACAGTCACTCAACGTCAACAAAACAAAGGAGATGATCGTGGACTTCAGGAAACAGCAGATGGTGCACCCCCCCTATCCACATCGACGGGACCGCACTGGAGAAGGTGGAAAGCTTTAAGTTCCTTGGCGTACACATCACTGACAAACTGAAATGGACCACCCACACAGACAGTGTGGTGAAGAAGGCGCAACAGAGCCTCTTCAACCTCAGGAGGCTGAAGAAATTCGGCTTGGCACTGAAAACCCTCACAAACTTTTACAGATGCACAATTGAGAGCATCCTGTCGGGCTGTATCACTGCCTGGTACGGCAACTGCACTGCCCGCAACTGCAAGGCTCTCCAGAGGGTGGTGCGGTCTGCACAACACATTAACGGGGGCAAACTACCCACCCTTCAGGACACCTACAGCACCCGATGTCACAGGAAGGCCAAAAAGATCATCAAGTACATCAACCACCCGAGCCACTGCCTGTTCACCCCGCTATCATCCAGAAGGCGAGGTCAGTACAGGTGTATCGAAGCTGAGACCGAGAGACTGAAAAACAGCTTCTATCTCAAGGCCATCAGACTGTTAAACAGCCATCACTAGCACATTAGAGGCTGCTGCCTATAGACATAGACTAGAAATCACTGGCCACTTTAAGAAATGGAACACTAGCCACTTGAATAATGTTTACATATCTTGCATTACTCATCTCATATGTATATACTGTATTCTATACTATTCTACTGTATCTTAGTCCATGCCGCTCTGACATCGCTCATCCATATTTGTATATATTCTTAATTAATTCCTTACTTAGATTTGTGTGTATTGGGTATATGTTGTGAAATTGTTAGATATTACTTGTTAGATATTACTGCACTGTTGGAGCTAGAAGCACAAGCATTTCACTATACCCGCAATAACATATCTGCTAAACACGTGTATGTGACCAATACAACTTCATTTTATTTGATATTAACAGTATTGCACTTTTCATGTAGTCTACTTTTTGGCCAGCTAATAGCCTAACCACCGATCGAGCAACAATATGGACTAAACGTTTAAATCCTGTTGCTGCATGATTATTTTGCAGTATAGGTCAAATTAAGATCCTACATCTGTAATGTAACTTTATATCAAAATAGCAATCAAATCAACAAATATCGATACAAATCATCATAATACATTTTGTTGAAAACAACAGATGACAGAAATAGTAAACAACAGCTGTTGTTCCATGTTGTTCCATCATGTTAATCTGTCCTGAATAAAGGACAATATTGCACAACTTTCCCAAATAACCAAGTACAGTATACAGTACTGAATAGTCCCCCTACTCTCTGCATAAGGAATGTGAGAGAATAATCAATTTCCCATGAAAATTGTCAGTAATTTATCAAATGTATTCTGTTAATGATCAAAACATTATTGTCTTTAAAGAAAACTTTAATGATATCCAAGAAAAGTTCCAAGGTCATATATTTGTCTCATAATTTGAATATTTATATAGCCTACTCAAATGTTTACCACATCCCACATTCAAAAGAGAAATATACACCCGCACCCACAACCCTTCTGTCAACATATCAATTCAAAATAACCTTTTAGTTAAATCATTACAACAAACTACCTCAATAGAAGACCACTGATTATTTTGAAGTCTGCACTAAAAGTAGTGCACTAATGGGAATAGGGTAGCATTTTGGGCGCATGCAATGCATTCACTCCATGTATCATTATACACTCTCCCATCAATTCACCTTGAGCAGCAAAAGGCCAATAGGTCGTACATGGAATGGAAAAGGTTTAGGCACTTTGAATAAGCATAGGTTTTAATACAAAGCCCCTTATGAAATAATCTGCAGCATTTTCTGAGGATTAGTGTGTCAAGAACAATGGCAGTGCAGTGTAATCCTAAAATGTTGACCTGTTGCCAAGAGGACAATATAAATGATTGTCAGGGCTTTCATGACAATGAGAGTGAATTTAAATAACAGGAGATAGAGGGGGAGAACTATCAAAAGCCATTAAAATTATTGGTCAAAGCATTCCATTGATTGGAGTATGCCTATTTTATACAATCCTTTCTAATCAATTCAGGACCAAAGGCACTTACAGTTCAATAATATGAGAATCAAAATTCAACCCACAGTGCATTTTTTCTGTTGCCTCCAATATGAGGAGATCAATTAATAAACAATTATATCACTTCACTCCTTGTAGAAATGAGTTGTGCATGTGCTGCACAGATACTTGGTTTTACAGTGTGGTATGATCCTATTTGTAATAATGTAGGCTACATTTTATGACCACTGGCAATCCTTAAACCTCCAGCATAACATAAAGATATTTTCCAATAACGATGCAGTGACAAATTATTCCTGCGTTTATTTCAGGCTTTCTGATTTTATCTTACAAAGAAACCCTCAAGGCAAACTTGATAATCTCAACGAAGGGTTGATTCTGTGATCTTCTGTCTACATTGAACTCACGGCGACAACTCATCATTTGACCACAACAAGTTGTCTACTGACCTTTTCTTGTCGACCTCCTCCTGTTCCTCCTTTTGAACTGGCTTCTCAGCTCACAGTCTGAAGTTCCCATAGTTCGGGTGCTGTTTCCAAGTACCGCAGCCATGAGGTACACGAAGATACTCCTGCAGTCTTCCTGGAATGCCTTCCCCTGGTTGAGAACTGGTGAAATTAGAAGTAGAGACTATACAAGCAAAGTCCAGGACTATTTCACTGGAGAGCCTTGGTGACAGTGTGTGAGGTTTACCGCCGGAATCTCCCTGCTGCTGTGTTTGGGTGCCACCTACATTCTTGCTGACAGCCTTTTTAGAAAGTGACATCATGTAGACTGGAGAGGCGAACCACCACACGCCCCACGGGGGCTAACCGCTGTATTTAGCTCTTATGCAAAGTGATGCATGCTTTCTTCCCCGATTAAAAACTAACAACAATATGCAAAGACAGCAACAAAGACAACAACAAATACTTTTACGCACAAGAAGGCAACACGTTTATGCTGTCTTTGGGAATGGAATGTGCGCAGTTGTGCATGTCATCAGGGGGAGCGCAAATGTAGCCTATTGTCTTTATTTGCCTGAAATGTCAAAAGAATCAAGACTGATTTATTTATCTCACTACAATCAAGTGACCATCCGTCCATTCAATTAACTCATGAAATGTAAGTAGGCAACTGTTTTCATTGTTAGTAGCCTAGTGTTTCAGAGTTTATAGCCCCTTTTCCAGTCAGATTATATTTATGGAAACTCAAACATATGGCAATCATATTTGCTTTTTTGCCTGAATGATCATGCATTCCGAACAGTAATTATCCTAATGGTAGAACATTTACCTGCTATAATTATCCACAGCTTTGAAACCCACATCCATGAAGGTTGCTGAAGCAATGTATTTTCAGTGGACGCATGTTTGAAGGCAGTTCACGCAATCCACAAACTCAGTTCACGCAATCCACAAACTCAGGTCATTTGTATCATAATACCTATTTTACATAATCCTCCCAATAAATACCATTTCAACTTTACTTTTAATTAACAGGTGTTTAATCCCTGCCAGTCACATACCGTTATTGTCCTCAGAATGATCATTATCATAAATAATATTCCAATTATGATTCCCAATTTTGGCACACTTTGTACACAGGGATATAACAATACCATATCAATATCTTGCTAATTGTGGCTGTCACATTTGTTTCAGTTCCAGCTGTATGGATAGGAGAGATGCAGGTTCAGGTTGTTTGGGTCCTTGTATTAACTATAACTATAAGCCTCTTCGAGGGGATCCGTTTGATGCTGTGACCTTCTCCTTTATCTACGGCTCCAGTGCTGTGTCTGGAGGATTGTGTTGGGCCCGAGGGATCCCTTCTTCCAGATAGCCTTTCACCTCACTGCCTCTGTGTGTTTGTTTTAGTCTCTACCCCACAGTTACTTCAGATTCTAAGTCCCAAATGGCATCCTATGACCTATTTAGTGCACTACTTTTGAAACTTCACTCTGGTCGAAATAAATGGTCAAAAGTAGAGCACTATATAGGAATAGGGTGCAATTTGGGAGAATCCTGGCAGTAACAAGGTTTACTTTCATAGGTTGTCTAATACAAAATCTGTTCTTAGAAGGCCTTCAGATAAAGGAATGAATTTGGGAAAACTCTAAATATATTTTTACAGAGATTCATACACCAGTGGTAAATGTCCTCTGTTCATTTCACATGGACAGGTTTATTACTGTAAAAAGGTACAGTATAATTAATACCATCCTCTCAGGATTCTCCGAGACACATTTTTGCAGGTGTTATGATCCCAACATGTACGTTGTGTAAGAGGAATATAGCCTTGGTGGTGGGCAGAGTAAAAAATAAAAAATAAAAATTTCCAAACATGATTTTCCACTTCACTCACTGCCCTGGCTGATCGGATGTGACACAACAGACTGTTATCTGTGGCCACTCATGTCAGTCTGTCTGTCTCCTGCAGTCCCGTTGGCATAAACATACGAGTGGTTTGTTGCCATAAACTGTTGTGATTCAAAGTGAAAAAATAAAAATGGAAATTCTAGCAATGTTACTGTTACCATTCAGTGGATCAACCTGCTGTGATGTTTGTGCATCCCCCCATTTTGTAAAACATTTTTTACCACACACAGAACCTTAACTCCTAATGCGATCTTGAGAACCATCTCATGCGGCCCTTTTTCAAAATGTTCCTTTGGCCGATATCTGGAGGCATGCCACTGCTTGAGCTATGTCTGTGTCCCAATTGGCACCCTATTTCCTACGTAGTACACTACTTTTGACCAGGGCCCATAGAGAATAGGGTCTCATTTAGGACACAGATATAGGCTACAGCTAAAATAATCTGCATGGCAGGGAGAAACCCCACTGGGTTTAAGATTGACTATACTCATGCCTCTCTCACTCCGTGTCATGTGGAATAACTTTAGGATATAAGGATAAGTTCCGACTTTGGGATGGAAACAGGGTTAGATGAAACATGGGTTTTGTCCCAAAAGGCACCATATTCCTATATAGTGCACTATGTAGGAAATAGGGTTCCATTTGGAACACAGCCAGTGATGTGACCTCTCTTCACCTCAGTTCAGGTTGAATTCAATATAAGATTTCAGCATCGCGTTGGCATAAGAGAAAATCCAAGTCCTCATTGTTTCTCATAAGGAACAGATAACACATGCTCCAGCCAGTGGCTGAGAGCCCAGAGGGTAGGCAGGGGGAATGAGCTGCTGCCTAAATGAGCCTAACACAGGCCGCTTAGATAGAATACAACATCTTGCATGTGCTCTCCTGAGGCCATGCATTAGAGAAAACAGATCTGACCCTATTCCATTGGAAGTGTCTTTTCCTCCAAGACGTGGAAAAATGCTTATTTTTAAAGGGATGTTTGACCCTATAATGTTTGGCTCTCTATTCTCTGTTTTCTTCAATCAGATTTGGCATCAAATGGAAATGTGATAATGATTGAAACACTTTCTATTTAGTTGAATGCAACATTTGGCATGAAACCAGGCTCTCACATTTTTCATATGTAACCTGCAACAGTTGTCAGCATCAGATTTTGACCTTGCCCCTCATACTTTGGATGAAGACGGGTATCAGGGGGTGTTTTTTGGAATCTCTGAGCCACTAGTCAACTAATCATGTCATTCTTGATTGAAAATTCCATACTAGGATCTTTCATTAAGACATGACATAAAGCTAATATTATGATTAGCTTGAATCGATTTCCTGAATATTTGAAAGGCATACCAAATGGCTAACTAAATATTTACTGGCAGTTTAATTATAGTAGTGTGGGGTATCATTTCATATCTCACAAACTCCTTACTGTATCTCTGTCACTATCATTAACCCATGACATCTGCTGGATACAGTTACCTAGGAGTTCTTGTTCTCCTATTGCATGATCAAATATGTCCTTCATTTCAAGTGTTTTTACAAGAAATCATTTACAGCCATGTCTAAAACAATATATACAAGTTTTTCCTGACCACGTGACCTGACGAGGAAGAACTCAGGTAGGGCCCCAAAGTTTGTTGAGTCCTTCATGCTCAGAGTAATAGTAGATCCTTGTAGCAGAAGTGAACCTTAAACTGTCTGCTTTAGGCAAAACACAAACCAGATGTCAGCTGAATATAAATGTGCACATTTTGATCAACTTTACTTTGGGAAACTTTGAATGTGTGACTTGGGTCATATTCACTAGGAACCTACTTGAATTGGTCCAATAAGAAAAGCTTGTTTTCGTTTTCCCCATGCAAAATGTTTTGCTACTGTGTGCACTAATGAATATGACCCTGGGCTTGGGATGATTAGAACATTGCATGTGACTTAAATTAAGCAGGTCAACTTTATGTTGATTATAGGACAAAGATCGTCTTCTAGATGCAATATTTCCAGCCAACTGTCTATATAAAGAGTATACATAATTCATATCTAAAGCCTGGTGGCATTGACATGTCATCTAATTAAAGACAAACTTAAATCTCATGTAAAGTCTGCATGGGAGATGTTGTTTGCCTGTGTTGATGCAAGATTACAGTTACAGTTTTTGGATCTGCTATATTCCTGTGAAATTTGAGGTGCACGGTAGTGGGTGGGAAATTCCAATGCGAGTGTGTGGACTCCTGTACACTTGTGTGATACAGGAATTTCTGGGATAGTACATTCCCAATTATGCATTAATATTATTTATCCTGTTTTACATAATGTAGCAGACACTCTTATCCAGAGCAACTTACAGGATCACTTAAGGTAAAGTGCCTTGCTCAAGGGCACATCAGCAGATTTTTCACCTAGTTGGCCTGGGAATTTGAACCAACAACCTTACAGTTACTGGCCCAATGCTCTTAACCCCTAGGCTACCTGCAGCCGTTTTCAAGTTTGTAACATTTATAAGCATGGTTTCATTTTCAGAATCTAGAGATAACATGTTTCTCTAAACTGTGTAATTTTAATGTATAATTTAAGTGTTTTGACAGAGTGAAAAACAAGTGAGATTTTCTCATTCATATGAGTGTAGCCAAGCTAAGCTAGCTAAATTTGTATGTAAGTTAATGAGAACAAGAACATGGCCTCTCGGATGATTTTTATTTCTGTTATAAACGTTTTGGCTCTTAAAGGTTATTTACATGTGTATTTTAGAAGTTTACTTTTTATGAAATTTGTATCTAACGGTCGCATGCTAATTGCTAAATGCTAATGTTAGCTAGCTCAGTGCTAGGCACTAGTTAGCCTACCATTTCGCTCTACTTGCTAGCTACTTTTAGCTTATGTTGTTGTTGGCTAGCTGTTCATGGGTTTTTGTTACATTTAAATCACAGGCCACTTCTATAATTTGTTTGTACTGTTGTACAAACCGTTGTTGCCCATACAATGCATGTGTATATTTAGTGGTTTTGCACATCTTTAGTGATAAACTAGTTAACACTAGCTAGCTAACTAACCCGGTTCAAACCCGGATGTGTCATATATACACACCTAGTAAGAGATACATTTTTGCAAAGGCAATTAGCTAGTTAAGCAGATTATTCTAGAGATTGTTGAATTGAGCTGTAACATTTACACAAATGCAATACTTTTGCATTCTCTCTGACACACAGATTTACCTCCCCGCACAATGTGTCTGTGCGATGTCACAGAGCACGGACACG